TTTTTGGGATTTTCATGGAAATTCGAAATCTAAATATCCTAAATAATCCACAAAGATTAAAACAATTTCTAATTTAAACTAGGAAATATGCTACTCTAAATCCTAATTTAAATCAAATAATTATCTTACTCTCTTGGATATATTTAGGATTCTTTAAACATGCAAACTTTAAATTTAAATTATAACTAACATATTTTTGGATTTTCTTTATTTAAAAAAGAAAGCAATCAAATAAAGATAACAACCGCACTCAAACAATCCACGCAATCCGCAAGATTCTTCTTATCAAATTTGGATTAGGAAAAGAAATCAAACTAACGTTCATATCTGAGGTATAGGGCTCAACTCGCCGATCACATGTCCAAGGAAAAGATCGCATTTGTGAATGTGGTCATTTCGCTGAAGAAGATTGCCTAGATAAATCGCAAAAAATTCACGAATAAATATATTACATATATATAAGTATATAGTGAAATTGAAATATGTATGTCACAAGTGTGCTTATCGTAGTTTGATGAAGGTGTGGCTTTCTCACTTGTATTACTTCTTATGTCTTATCTTGTGTCGGGAAAATGCAAGAGACTTGAAAGTTGAAGGGCTTGACGTTTGGGATTTTTTTAAAGGATTTTTCTTTGGCATATCCCCCACCAGCATTGGTTAATTGATCGAATTTTTCTTGATGTATCAATGCCCGGAAAATATAACAAGAAAGCTAAATGAAGTACGCTTTCCATCCAAAGAAAACTGCATGAGTCAAACTCGACTAAATCAAAACCGAAATTAGAAACTCAACCATAAGAGTTGTACAATAACATATTCGAAACATATGAAAGGTTTTACCCCTACTACCATCAATTTGACATTGAAAACTAATTTTAAAGTTACGTACAATGTTGATCAGTACTATATGAAATAACAATTTGCATTCACAACCATCGATTGAGGATCTAGACATGCAAAAAAGTTAATGAAGCCAACTACAGATTAAGAACTTGGAAGCATAATTAAACTGAAGGTAGGAAGTCACTATCATAACATATAAACACCATGTGGAGGGCTATTCAATAATAGCACGCAGGTCCTGACATTTTGTAACGTGGGTGTGGCAATAGTCAGTACTAGGGGTCTGAAAAACCGAACCGAACCGAAAATTTCTAGTCTTTTCAGTTCGGCTAATAGGTAAAGGATTTTGGGTAGTTTGTCGGTTCAGTTCAGGTTTCGTTTTTCTAATCTTTTAAAAATGCAAATCAAAACCAAACCCTCTGCAATTCGTTCGAAAACCCCAGAAAACCTTTAGTCTCCAACTATTGCTCTCCCTCCTCCCCATTTCTCCTAAGACCTCGTCGGCGAAGAGCACTGGCAGTGTGCCTCAGGTGGTGGAGAAGAGGAAGCCATTCTTCACGAAGGTCAATCGCCTACGGCTCAAAATGAACGGCCATACCCTGACGGTGAAGGTGGTTAGCTCCAAGGGCGTGCCCGTAAACGCCAGCTGGGCCAACCGGTCATCGTCAAATGCCGTGCTCTCTCGCCCACCTCCCCGCAACACCAGCATCACCGTGTGCCTCGTCGGGGATGAACCATGAATAGAGATATTCATATATGGTTTACTCGAGGAAAAAGGGTTGCTACTCTACGTGGAAAACGTTCATATTCATGAAAATGCCGGAAGCACAGCATCAAATTTAAGAAAATATTATTCTCTTGCAATTAAATGTCATTCGTTACAAATATCAGCCAAGGTCTTTTATAGTCTCTCAAAGAACCATTCCCTTATCATAATTCGTCCTAAAGACACATGCTTTGTCATATATAATTTCGATAGGATACATCATGACATCCATTTAAAATTTAAGAAAAGAGTGATTTTTTTATAGTAAATAGGTTCATTTTGATCATAAATGAGTGCAAAAATGGTTTGAAACACACACACACACAAAAATGATGTCACATATAGTCAGTAAAATTGAAAAAATTGTCTAAAAAGTCTTAAAATCTATTGTATGGCACCGCCAATTTAATTCTAAACTTTCTACTTCGGCCAATGCAGTCTTAACCTTTTGATGATTTTTCAATATAGTCAATTTAAGCAATTTAAGCCAAAAATCGCCGACCTGACGGTCTAGTCAGCATTGACCGTCCTACGAGTATAGCCAACGGTTGGCATGGTGGAAATGAATGAAAAAAAACGTTACTTTGCAATTTTTTTGTTTATCGATTGCGGATGGTGGTGATGGACATGGCTTGAAGATAGATTTTTGTATTAAAGGGGGAAGTCTTTTGGTGATGGGTTGAGTGGGGTTGAAGATAAAAGAAGGAAGATATCGTTGATGATGGGTGATTGACGAGGCGAGTGTCCAGGAGATTCAAGATGCCGATGATGATGATCGTGGGTGATGAAGATTGAGCGGGGTTGGTGAAAAGAGGATGCCTCGGGGAGACAAAGGTTCAATGGGCCGTTTAGTTCGACTTTGGAAAAATATTTTTGAAAAAATGTAAAGGCCTTTAAGTTAAAAGGATTTTTCGAAATACAAGTAGTGTTTGATAATGTGTATTTTAAAATCACATTTGAAAACAACTTTGGCCTAAATACCGTTTGGTAAAAATTATATTTTGTAAAAGACTTTTGCTGATATTTAAAGAAAAAAAAACAATCTCAATGGAGCTCACCCACCGATCACCGCCGCCGGTCAGATCTGGTCGCTAGCCAACCGCCGACAGCCAGATCTAGTCGCTGGCCACCGCTGCCTGACCTCAGGGGAGGTGGCCTGAGGTTGCGCGACCTCAGGTGAGGTGGCCTGAGGTCGTGCGACCTCAAGCGTCGCGCAACCCAAGCGACACCTGAGGTCCAGTGACCTCAGGCGGCGTCGCCTGGGTCGCATGACCGCCACTTGGGGTCATCGGACCTCGGACGACGCCCTGGGTCGCGCGACCCAGGCAACGCTTGGCCTAGGTCGTGCGACCCAAGCGACGCCCGAGGTCCGGCAACCGCCACCTAGGGGTCGCGCGACCCCAGCGGCCGCCACCTGGGGTCGTTGGACCTCGGGCAACGCCTTGGGTCGCGCGACTAGCCTGGGTCTCGCGACCCAGGCGACGTTCGAGGTCCGGTGACCCTAAGTGACAGTCGCCGGGGTCGCGCTACCCCTCAGGCGGCGGTCACCAGCCGCTGGACCCAAAGCTTGAAGAAGATGAGCAGTAATCGATGAACAGTGAAGTTGCATCCCGAAAATGCAACTTCCCCGAGGCTTCATCATTCAGCCAAAGGCTCTTGGAGAGCTTTAGAGATGTAATTGCATCTCCTCAAAACTTGCTAAATAATTTCATATTTATTTAAGAAACTTTAGAGCTCTAAAGCAGCATTTAAATACTGAATCAAACATGGCCAAGAATGTTCTTCAACCGAACGTCGTCTTCCTCTCCAATACTCACGGTCCTTCACTTGGAAATCCCGCTTGACCCGACAGACCCAACAAGAAAAACACCCTTTTCCCCCATTGCTCTCTGCGTCTTTTTTCTTTGCCTCCTTTTTTGCCCTCCGGTGAAGGAGTCCGAAGCTGTGTTGGTGGATGGATCTGTCTTCAAATCTGAGCATTTAAGAACCACGATCTTCTTTGCTTTGCTTTGACGGAGCGATCCCTTCCAAAAACCGTCGCTGCAGAGTTCATGAATGGCCCGCGTGAATGTTCACCCGGCGGAATGCACGGCCGTGAATCTTTGATTAAATCTTCTTAGTACGACAACCGTGATTTCTGCGTTTGCTCTGCATTTCTTTGCCCTTTTCCCCGCTGACATCTCTGTTGAAGACGTGTTAGTCCTTTATGATCGTCTGCTGGCTGTGCCAATACCTTCTTTTCAGGTGCGAAAATTGACAATACGGGTATAGCCGCCTCTCTCTCTCTCTCTCTGCTATTCCTCAGCTTTGACTCATGATTGCTGTCTTTCCTGTCCACGTTCTACCTCGCGTGTGGGCTCTACTTATTTATGGCGGCTTTGTCTCCTCCGCCATTTCCCCATAGCACGGCACTCGTCACTTTCACGTTTCTGCCATCTCCCACCATCTTTACTTTTTCAACTTTTACTTCTCCATTTTGTCATCCAATGTGAAAATAGCACTCCAACTCGTTTTTGGACCCCCTCCAACGCCTCCTTTGCTTCGTGTAGTAAAACTAATCCTAAGCTTAAATTCATATAGCTCCTAAATGTAAATGTAAAGCCATGCTCATATCGATTTTTATTTAGGTGTCAAAATTTGATCCCTAATTTTTTCATGAAATGATTGGCTAATACATGAGCCAAAAATTTAGGCGTCAACAATAAACAAACTTCGATTCAAATTTTATTTCGGTAACCTAATTAGCTTTAGCTCAAGCGGTTATAAATCATTTTTCAATTTTGCTCTTCGATGAATTGGTGGTTTTGCCGCATTCTGAGGAATATGCTCGTTGATACGAGCAGAATTTTGAGCTTTGTAATTGGGACTCAACATCGTAAAACAACTTAGTTTTCTCGAAATCATCATCGAGATTGACTCCAAAGCCATCATTGATCTTGTTACTCTAAAGCTTATGATTAAGTACTTTACCTAAACATATCAGAAGACTGTTGCGCTCTCACTTCAAATCGAAGCGCAACATAACTTTTAAGAAGAAAACGTTGCTGACTGGCTTGTTAATTATGAGATCGATAAGCACTTAAATATTAAATTCTTTTCATTACTTCTTAAAAAGTTACTTCATGTTTTATCAAGTGATAAAATAAGGACGGTGCCGACAAGAGTCTAGTGATAATTTGGAGCGAATGGGACTCGGCTCGACTTGACTCATGTCGGGCTTCATCCCAAGAGGCAATAAAAATAAGTCGGATTCAGACCCGATGGTTGTTTAATTCAATTTTTTTTTATGATTTGTTTTTGTTATAATGACCCCATCTGCTCTAAGTACACAATGTGATGACCGAGTGTCTTTTTCACCGAGTGTCTTTTTCAACCTCCCCAAAAAAAGAACACCAAAGAACAAAAGGGGTGACTTGGATCCCTCTCAGAAAACGGCATTTAGGTTTGCATTGCATCCAAGTTTCCTCCTTTGGAACTTCCCTCTCGGCAGCCAATCGCCGAAAGCCATTAATCCGTTCCTCTTCAATCAGAAATTTCACCCCACATAATGAAACTTGCGGATTTCGACATGTCGATCAATTTTGGCCTCTTCTCGCTGCATGTGCCTCTGTTTCTCTGCTCCCACGTTACCCAAGATGCCCACCTCTGCGGCTGTTGTTCACCAACCGAGATTTAATGCCTTACCCACGTCTCCTTCTTCTTCAAAGTACAAATCTTTGAGGCCGAATCACATTTTGGCGTTCGACTTTCGCCGCTTGAAATCGATTGGCCATGGTGGGTCTGGCTCGAGCGTGCTCGCCAGTGGGAAAGACGGAGTCTTGAGTCGGATGCGCATGGCTGGGACCGTGAGAGCTGCTTCTTTCAGGAGCGGTAGTGGCAGCGACGAGGATGTTAGGATTCTTGAGCAGGAAGGTTTTACGAATGGGTCGGCTGGTTTCGTGGCTGGTGGCTTGGAATCGACCCTTAATCGTCTGGTTGGTGCCTTCTCCGTTGGGTCGTTTTTCTTGCGCCTTCTGTTCGTAAAAATTACAGTTTGCGATAGTGTGTCCTGTGTGTTAGGTACATAGGAACAAGGCTTTGATCGTTACAGTTGCCGGGTTCTTCTTTTAAGCCACGCTAGTTGCACTAGGTGGGTGGTTAATCTTGTGCATCCCTGTTTCGTCTCTCTGTTTGCTTGAAAGTTTCTGGTGATTGTACTACCTTCTTGGAGTTGAATTGTCAGGGAAATCTCTCACCAATCGAAGCCCGATTAAGGTTGGAAAAGAAAATATAATGTAAAAGAGCAAAGTTCTCCACATGCTTTGAAATGTGTCGGATGGATATTTTCATTTTTTGTAAAACAGTAGCTTCTTATAGCATGATTGGCTCGTCTATTCAAAAAAGCTCAGAATGCTATAGGCAGTTGTATACTTATTTACCCTGTGTGTTAACTTCCTAGAAAATCTTTGCTGTTGATTGCAGAGCAAGTGGCTTGTTGCTGGTGTTTTTGGTGCCATCATTTTATTGAGGCATGATGCTGAATCTCTGTGGGCTGCTATGGGTTCGGTTGTAAATACCATTCTCTCGGTCGTACTCAAACGAATACTGAATCAAGAAAGGCCAGTGCCCACCTCGAGATCGGACCCTGGGATGCCATCTTCGCATGCTCAGTCCATCTTCTTCACAGTTGTGTTTGCCATTGTATCAGGTTAATCTATGGTTCACTTTGATCGATCATCGCACTATCTTAGAGTGAGAAACATAGGATAACTTTTGCTTCTTCATGAAAGTCTTATGCTTTAATCAGCTACCATTGTGATGGAGGGTTGTAAGGCAGCATCAGCTTGTGCAAATTCAACAATTTGTTCTTCCTAGACTAGAATCTGTCAACTGGGTCTGAATTGTGGATCGATGATTGGAACTTTGTTTCCTGCAGGATGATTAGATTAGACTTTTCCTGACTAATGTCCTTCATTTGTCACACTGATGACTACTTCTACTCTTTCCTGTAATGTCCTTGTTTCACTCATCTACATTTTCACATTGGCCTTTAATGGCCTATTTACAGTGTCCTATTAATAAATCTTTGCAGTTTGAACCGATAACTTTTGAATTTCTGTCTTATGGTTTAACCGTGTTTCTTCCCTTGTGAGAGAGAGAGAGAGAGAGTGAGTCTAAAGTCAGTGATAGTCTCAGAACCTCAGTTTTGTGAAGTTCAATATTGTCTAGCTTATTAATATTCATCAATTTTGAGATTCTGATGCTGGCTTTCCTGTATGCTCATGCAGTAGGTGAATGGTTTGGAATTAACGAGATTACTCTGATTATCAGCGGGCTTGTTTTGGCATTTGGTTCATATCTGGTAAGTATCCCTGTGTTTTTGCTTTTATCTGGTGTAGTCGTGTCTGCAGCTTCAAGAGGTGAAGTTGTTTCGACTTATAATGCCATATATAATCCTAGAGCTGGAAATTTGGTGAAATCTATATATGCCGAAACTCTGAGAAGTTGTATTCTTGCATATGCATATGATAGTGTCAATTTTTTTATTCTATTTAGCCAAATAATTATTATTATGGCGTCTGAAAGTTCTGGTCCATTTCGTGCGAAGTTTCTTATGCAGAAGCATAGAAGCAAATTGCGAGTTTTGTACTGATGTGTGAAGTAGTTCTCGATTCTGATATAGTCGATGTATGTTAGGATTTTCCTTAACTAGCCCATGGTTTCATTCGGTACACTGGAGTTAGAAATGTGCCATTAGTAGTAAATCTCATGCATGTGGCACAGTTACAGAATTTTGCAAGACTGGAAGTCTGATTGACTTTAATGGAATTGCATGATAACGCAAGATTTTGAAAGAAATGTACCCGTCAGCTGTATCTAATTCATTGTATGGGTGAAACCACAAAGAAGCAGATTTTTTATTTTCGAATCCGTCTTTTGCATTAGATTTATATCCAGTGCAATAGAAGTCCAACACTTACTCGTGAGGTGAAGAGTCTAAAGATTTTTAACCATAAACGGTGCCTGCTATAACCATCTTTTACCTTGTTGAAACAATTCTGCCTTGAAGGACTGATTTTTCTACTAAATTTAAACTGAAAATGTTGTTGGGTTCTGATATTTGTACCATAACTTGTTTTGGCAGTCATGGTTACGGGTCTCGCAGCAACTACATACAATCAGCCAGGTGGTCGTGGGCGCCTTCCTGGGGTCGGCTTTTTCTGCATTGTGGTTTTGGTCTTGGAGTGCTTTCATGCTGAGAGCTTTTGAATCGTTTTTGTGGGTTAGAATCGTGGTCATTCTGGGTGTATCTTGCTTCTGCCTCGGGTTTCTTTTGTACGTAATTCGGTACTGGCTACGCGATGAAAGATGAACTTTGACCTATGGTTTTAAATGAGATGATCACATCGATTCACTCCCTAGTTGCCACTCTCACGAATATGTCCGCACAATGTTTAGGAAAATTCGTTGGAAACATTCATCCTTTAGCCTCTATATGGTTGAATACACCAAAAGCAACGTGCCAACTATTTCTGACTTTTGATCTGATCTGTCAGATTCATCAGACTCCTATGAGTAGTGTCATTTCGTGTTATGCTTGTGTCGAATTAAATGCGCCTTCACCTATTTATATGGTGGTGTTGAGAAATGTTCAACGCTAGTGTGCAATTCTAGTTAGCCTAACGAAAGAACATAATTTTGGAATAACCATTCCATTCTAAGAACCAACCCAAGGAATGTGTATCCTGTTGATATTTCTGCTCTGTTTGATTTTTGTGGAATAGCATTCAATTTCTGCCTTATTCTGTTCCACGAGCCAAACGTCAGGTGAGAACTTAAGAAGATTTTGACAACACATACAACGTAAAAGCATCTTGAAACAATAGCCGGAACACCTTGACCAGCCACTCTAGCTCATAATCCTTCCACAAATTTTTCTAGAATCGCAGCAATAACTAGCACGAATCCGTACTATTGTCCTGTGCTGAAACCTTCCTTCCAAAGCCACATCTGGAACACAATGGCCACCTGTCTCGTGCATCCCAGAAAGCACATGAACTGGGTGTGATCTCTTGAAAAATAATCACACCCTTCATCAGCCTCCAGATGGTGCATGGCAACAGCATAAGTTTCTCGTATTATTTGTTGGACGATGCATCGACAAAGTTCAAAAAATCATATTCACAGAGTTGAGCACCCTTCCCTTTTGCAACTTTGTCAAGTTCAAAAGAAGGGATTCACTATTTGGCTTCATTGCTTTGCGCAATAGCCAGAGAATGGCTAGTGGTGGAGGACCCTTGTCCTGCTGGGAGGTACGACCACACCAACACTGCAGTACCAAGTGATATAGCACCTGCTATAGAACGCCAAATCCATCTGTGCCGTCTTTTCCTTCTTTGCTTGAGTCGCCGAGCCATCTCTACAAGATGCAGAAGAAAACAAAAAATCAACTTAATTGCCTCCATCTGACTTGCTTCTCGCCAGTATATAGCAACTTTTTGCCAGCATTGACATGTCGCACCCATTACACAAATAAATGAACAATCTCCTATATTTGCCTTACCATCGAATCATGATGAAAACATTCAATAGTTCTATGTAGTAGTCAATCTAGCGCAGCAAGTCATGGTGGTAATTATAAAGAATAACATGATGTTCGTATCTACCATTGTCAGAAAGCTGATTCTCCAAAAGAATCGAGATAATTGGGGCAGTGGAAATAACATGAACAACAAAATCAAGGAACATGATGCGCCTGCTCCCCAATCATGTATTCCCATTTCCCTGAGTTACATTGAAGCAATATCAAGGATTTTACAATTGACAACATTCAAGTCTCTTCCTATAGGTTGATGGTCTCTACCATGTTAACAAAATAGAATGGCTAACCCATCATGTTCACTCGCCATTCATATCATCTGTGTTTCTTCCCTTACATGTCCAACATCACCTAGTAAATGCCCTGGAATTGGAAGTTAGGACATTCTAGTAAGAACCTCAACATGCAAGAAGCAGAGTTGCAAAAACATATTACGAAGGCAAGATTCAGCATGTACAGTTTCTAATTACTTCAAGAACGGAGAGAACATCTAAAAGTTAAAGCAAAGCTATAGCATGATAGCAAATGCATCTGTAAGCATATCCTTAACATCACATGTAACAGATGAGAACCAGATCCCTAATACTTCTAAAGATACGTATCACAAATCAAAAATTGTAAAGGCATAAAGTGGAAGGAATCTCACCAAAAGCTTCCTGGTTCCTCTGGGACATCTCGTGATTCACAATCTCGTAATAGTTAAGCCGCTCCAACAATCGGGCAATCTCAAAATTCTTTTCCTTGACCTGAGCTTCCACCTCCAACTCCACTTCTGCCCTTGCAATGCCCCTCCCAACGGCATTTGATACAAAACGTGCAAGAAAAACTCGTTGCAACAACTCTTCGAGGGAATCGACCTCCAACTGTTCACATGCCATGTCTGGACCTGCATGCAGTGTCAGTCCCATGGAGGATAGCTCATGCTTGATCCTTTGCCACTGGCTTTGCAAATTGGCCAAACCTTCCTCTGCTTGCTTGCGCTTCTCTATTTCCATAAATAAACTCAACCTAATCTCACGTAATTCCTCCTCAAGATCACGACGAGAAAACAGCGCTCCACCCTCAGATGACAACTCTAAAGAGGAAAGGGAAAATCAGCTCATTTACCATGTGATCAAATAACAGCAAATTTTAAGGATAATCATGTTTCTTTTCATATGCACTGATTTCTTCCCAATAAAACGACTAGCATCAGCAGCCAAAATCTATCTAGAAAGATTTACAAAGATTACGAGAAGCTCAACCCATGAACGAAAAACCACTCTGTCACCAAAAACACGTGCAAGCACCCCCTGAGTAATGTGTGAGAGAGAGAGAGAGAGAGAGAGAGAGAGAGAGTGGCTTCATTGAGGCAGATTCAAACACACACACACACACACACAATACAATTCTAATTGAGAAGAGAACATGGTTACATATTTTCATAAATCAAAATGGACGACATCCTAGTAAAAAATTCTTGAACAACATACACACAAGAAGAAAGAACTTAAAATATGAAAGAAATCATAAAAAGATGCACAAGAGCTAAAGTACCTTCCCAAGCATCAAAAAACTCCACCACAGGAGTTTCAAACTTCAAAAGATATTCTGTCATGCGATTTTCCTCTCCATCAGTGTTACCTGTATGACTAGAGGAATCCCAAGGATGACAGAAATTTTCACTATTCCCCTCAATTTCAGTAGCCAGTGCAACAGGCTTAGCAGAAACATTTTCCTCCACAATTTGGCAGCTCAAACTACCAGTTCCAGCATTCAAAACCCTGTTCTTTAAGTCCTTGCAGGTTGCGACTTCACTTTCATCAGCCCCAATCACATGCCTATCCGCAATATGTTGATAAAATTTTGATGTGACAGCCACATCCTCTTCACTAGCAAGACAACAAGTTTCTGCATCTTTGATGTTGCCATTGGACTTCTCTTCATCTAGGACCTTGTGGTGAGAGGAAGCACTGTCCAGTGAGAAACTCTTCAGGAGTCTTGGCCCACGCCGCTTGTGATTGATGATGTAAGGGGACGAAGAAGGAAGCGAGGAAGGTGAGTCGGGAAGAGGGGTCACCTCAGGAGTGGCATACAGCGACGGCCTTAGCCGAGGCAGCTGAATTTTCCTTCCAATGGCCGGTACACTGTTACGCCTCTCTAGCTTCGACTCCAACACTGGGTTGGGCTTTGGTGGCTTAGCATTAGGAGAAGAGCTTGAAGTGTCGACTGCTTTATCGACCAATTTAAAAGCCCCAGGTTCCAACGGCCTGTTCAAAGCTATTGCTGTGAATGTCGGCATGGCTCTGCATAACCGAGTCGTTGAAAGACAAAGGTCAGTATCAATACACGTGGAGAAAATTAAAGACTCCGAATTTAATGGACTTTTGCTTTAAGGGTGCTGAGAAAGTCTGAGAGAACATTATTCATATGCCGGTTTGTTCAGGGTAACGTATGAATGGACTGCCTTCTACCGACTTCCTTACTCATTTCAACTCTTGCAGCTCATCTAAAATTCAAGAATTTAAAGCAACAAAGAACAAAAAGGCCGACCCGAAGGGCTCCTCCTAGCAACGGCACCTTCATATATATTCACCAAGGCGGCTTTCGAATGAAGAATGAGAACACGACCTCCGATCTAATGCCATTATTCCAAGAATGGATTCTAAGAACAAAACTAGAATAGTAGCGGGGCTTTTCTCCGCTCATTCCAATTCTCCCTATTCCTAAGACAGAGTGACGAGCGTGAAAAACCAAGAAGCAACCAAATCCACCACCCAAAAATGCGGCGGCACCCGACGAGGAAAAGGAAAACAGAGTAAAAACATGGCACAGAAAAGCTCATTGCAGCCAGATATAAACGACCCATGTACTCGTCTCATTTCACCGCCGCTACGCACCGCGCGCAGCCCCATCACCGCGCGCAAGCTCAACTACAATAACAGGAAGTGTTCAAACTAACAAGTAATCTGTACTGTTGGTTTTACCCTGAAGCTCGCCAGTCCCAAACCCCAAGGCGAAGAGGAGAGGGAGGAGGAGGAGGCAACGGAGAGTCCGGACCGGAGAGATGTCAAACCGGCTTCGACGGCGGCGGCGGCGGCGGCGGCGACGTCATCGCTCTCGTCGATGAATACCCCATTTCTGTTGCGGTCCGCCGCAAATATTTCGAATGCGCGATCTTTGCCGTTTCTCAGCCAATGCCGCTCTTTTTTCTTCCATCCTAATCCTCTGCGGCCACTCGCCGCGGAAATACCGACACTGCCCTCGAATCCACGGGGCCCGCCGCGGGGGAGCGGAGGGAGAGTGCGGGCATTTCGGCGCGGCGGCGGCGGGAGCAGGAGCGGGAGGCGGAATGGACAGCGAAGCGCCGTCTCCTCACGTGGGGGCTTTCCTAGTACGAAGCAGCTCCGAAAACGGCACGGCGTCGCCGGGACTCTGTTGGGCTTTGACTTTTAGTCAAAATGAAAGGAGACATTCTTGCGATCGTGAATCGGCAGATTCGGCACGGGCCGCGGTGCTGACGTGGCGTCCCGCAAGGCGGTGCGGGGGGTTCCTCCGGAGCGAGAAGATACTGTATACATCATATTTGCCGACTCAGCTTTGAAACACTCCACTCAGAGATCGACACGTGTCAAGCGGGCCCACATGTCAGCTTTTTGAAGAGCCAACTGAATTGTAAACAGGAAGCGTCTCGTACCAATACCCGGTCCTCCTCACCGACGCCTCAGGGGACTCGCCTAGCCACTAGGGGAGAGTGACCCCTGACAATGTCAACCGAACGCCGAGCTCTAATACCAACTTACAGGGGTCTCGTACCAAAAACTATAGCTGATAATAGAGGGGAGTCCCAAAATTTATATTCAAGACTAGAACGCCCTGCCTAGGCGATGTAGAACGCTTACTTACTTACGAGGTCTCATATCAATAAATATATTTGATGGTAGAGGGGAGTCCCGTAGCTTATATTCAGACAGGGCGGCCAGAAGCTATAGCTGATAGTAAAGGGGAGTGTATATTTAAATAGATTGAGCAACATAATGGAATGTATATTCATGCCGTCGAACAAATAGAAAAAAAAGATAAAAGACTTTTAAAACCGTCTTTCGAAATTAATGGCAAAAGGACACTATAAGTGCCATAAGTTGTGTACGGAGATCACTTTGATGCCATAAGTTTTTTTCGGATCACTTTGGTACCAAATCAGAGGAAAAGAGATAACTTTAGTGACTCCGGCCAAAATTCCGGCAAAAAAAAAAAGCCACGTCAGATTTCCGGCAAGCCACGTCAGATTTTCGGTGAGTCATGTCAGCATCGGAAATTAATAAAAAAAGAGCCACGTCAGATTTCCGGCGGCCATGTCAGCATTGGCACTAAAGTGATCGTTTTTCAAAAAAGTTGACACCAAAGTGATCCGAAAAAAAGTTATGGCACCAAAGTGATCTCCGTACACAACTTATGGCATTTATAGTGTCCTTTTGCCCCAAATTAAGTAAGAGAGAGAAGAATTTGATAACAGCGATACTCTTGAAAAATAAAAAGAAAAAAAAAATTCTTCATCAGCTCTATGAGGGTCCAAACAAAATGGTGATCATTCCCCTCCAAATAGGAAGATTTTCCAAGGTCCCCTAAGCATTACAACTAAAATTGAACAGTTTATTACGAAATTAGGGAAGTTTCATATAACCCCTTAATGGAAGCTGCTAGTTAAGCATGATTGCGTGCCCAAAACTTCTAGGAAAAGTAGGGAAAAACTACCAGAAAATTGGACTTAGGTTAGCTCCAGCCGGCCAAAGTTCTAAATTCTTGTCTCGAAGTTTATTCGAACGAAGGCTGGTCTGAACGTTAAGCAAAAACTAAATCGAGCTTCGCATTTGATTCAAACCGCCAAGAGGATGCACAGGTACAGAATCAGTACTAGCTGAAACTGATGTTGTCAACCTGAAATGCCATCCTTTATCCTACTTTGAGATTTCAATTGGGGAATCCTGTACTAGTGAACCAGGGAAAAAGGAGTGTCAAAACATGAAACGAAATTCTCAGCACAGGGACGCTATGCTGGTATAAATAGGTTCATTTCCTGAATCCCAAGTGCGAAAGTAGAAAGAAGGAGAAGTAACCGTCAAGTTCCTGAGAATTTCGCTGATGAACTGTATGGCCCGAATCAACTAGCTTCGACCCACGAGAGTATTTGAATCAAAGGTTTATCCTCATGGTGCATCCGGATAGGATTCCTTCATCCGCGAACAAAGGTATTAGTAAGCACGAGCAATCGGAGCACCGCGCACACATCAGTGACTCGGTTCAGCACAGATATGTACTCAGAATCATTGCCATCGTTCAGTTATCCTTAAGAAACCCCAAGTTAGATAAGTGTGGAAGCTTTACTAATGCCAAGTTCGCAGACCATGGCTAGAATAACTCATATCTGACTAACGGAAATAGCCGCGTCACTGCACCAAAGTGGTAGTGCTCAACAAGCTCTTCCACTGTGTCAGTTATGAAACGAGAATGCCTTCCTCATGGTGACCTAGCAGTGACCCAGCTACTTCCTTTTTCTTTGACAAGCCCTTTCTTCCTCATTTCATTCCTCATAGTATCTACAGAGTCCCACATACCGAATGCGGCATAAAAATTCGAAACCAGAACGTAATAACCCGGCTTATCGGGCTCCAATTCCAACAGTTGCTTCGCAGCATGCTCCCCCCTAGAGAAATCTCGATTGAGACTACATGCATTCAGCAAAGCTGCCCAGACAGCAGCATTAGGTCTGCAATTACTCTCGACCATTTCGTGAAACACGCACCAAGCATCTTCTGTTTGACCTGCCCGACCCAAACTATCAATGAAACAAGCATAATGCTCTGGACCAGCGTTCAAACCATACTTATGCCTAGCCAGGTTGATGCTTGCCCTACCTTGATCCACCAATCCAGAGTGACCACATGCTGATAAAACAGCAAGAAGGGTCACGTAATTTGGTGAGACTTCACTTCGGAGCTCACCCATCTTGTTGAAAAGCACAAAAGCTTCAAGCCCGTCGCCGTTTATTCCATATGCATCTATCATGGTTGTCCAAGAAACCACATCCTTTCTCAAAATGCTATCAAACAACGTCTTTGCGTGACCAACTTTCCCGCACTTGGCATACATGTCCAACAAAACATTGCACAGCTGAGTGTCGGAGGTGAACCCAAAACGTATTGCCACACAATGTATCTGCTTCCCAATCCACAAATCTGAGTTCTCAGAGCAAGCTGCAAGAGCACTTGTGAGGGCAATAACATTTGGTTTCATCGAAGACATTATTGAGAAGGCCTCTTTATACTTCAGATTCCTAACACAAGCGGAAATCATTGCATTCCGCATCACACTCTCACTGCGATCGACACAATTATAAACTTTCAAGGCTTCCTCAATACGCCCAACGCTGGAGTAAAAATCTATCAAGGCTGTGGACAAGACCACCAAGTCTCGGCCCATAACTACCACCATACCATGAACCTGCTTCCCCTGAGAATACGCCTCGAGCAGAGCACAAGCCTTAAGCATCGAACACAAGGTAAACTCGCTGATCTCCACATTTTCCTTCCTCATACCTTCAAAAATGTGGAGCGCATCCTTCGCGAGGCCGTGACGCAGAAAACTCGAAAGCAGAGCATTCCAACTGACAACATCCCTAAATTCCATTTCTCCAAACACCTTCACCGACTCGCTCAAGCAACCATACTTGGAATAGACGTCCACGAGGGCGGTCTTGCTTATGGTTCCGGAGTCTGCGCCCGTCTTGATCATCAAGCCATGCACTAGCCGGCCGCGCTGCGGGTGCGGAAGCGCCGAGCAAGCCCTCAAGACGGGCGTGAAAGTATACGCGTCGAGGTCGGTCCGCGACGAACTCAACCGAAGGAACAGGACCCACGCACCAGCAGCGTCGCCGCAGCGGACCCGCGAAGCAAGGAGGGAGTTGACCGACCGGAGGTCCCGGTGGGGAATTTCGTCGAACGAGTGATGGGTGTGGAGGCTGCGCGCCGGGATGGCCCGAACAGAGGAGGCTCTGAGATTGCTGAGGATGGCTTTGGCGGGCAAGTGGGCGAGACGACGGCTGATGCATGGAAACATCAACGACGGAAGCGGTTTCAAAGATCAGTCAGCGAGTGGGACTTCTCATGTTACACAGTTTCAATGAAGCTTGTCAAGAAATGAATGGGCTTTCCCAAAACAATGGAGGAATGAACTGCATTGCTCTCGCGTTTTACTATGTTCATTATTATTTTTCAGCGCATTGTAAAGTAAAATGCTTAATCTTTCCTTCTTTTCAATATGTTCCAGATGAAAAAAAAAAAAGTGTATATTTTATTGATGTTTGGATAAGTACACTGAAAGTACTAAAAATTATCACGAAATGCAATTTAGTTCTAAAACTTGTTGCGAAAATACAGTCGAGTCATAAAACTTTCAAAAAGTGCGATTAAGTCATAAAACTTGTCATGAAAGTGCAATAAGTACAATCAACGGAAGGACTTGATTGGATCGATTTGACAAATTTCAGGACTTGTTTGCACAAATTTTAAGGCTCGATTGTACTTTCATGACAAATTATGAGGCTTCTAACGCACTTGTCCCTTAATATTTTCTTCACATTATTTATGAATGTGGTCATTCTCTTATAGTAATTTATGTGATTAAAATAATAGTATGAAAGACGAAACTGCTCACCTTAAAGATCTTTTGTACTTATTTTTATCTCCCAATTTCATGAATTATCTCCACTAATCTCATGGCCAAGTAAGTATTTTTGCATCATGCATCTTCTATATTCTTAAGACGGTTTTCTTAAAGTAAAAGTTGGGGTTAACACGACCGAAAGTCTCGTGATAAAATTGGTACAAAATTTTAAATTCTACAGCCATTACAAATCTACCTAAAGTTCAAGGTAAAATTGGGGTAGAATTTGGGATTTCAACGGATTTCCCAATCTCAACTCGTTTTCTTTGGATCTTGCTTCCCGGGAGACCTTTTCATGTTGAATTTTCACGTCGAACCCACATCAAATGCCGATCATCCCAATTGTGTTGCCACACGTGTTTTCACATCAGTAATTTAAAAGGATATAGGATAGAAGCTAACGGGGTAAAATTGTCGAGAATGGTATTCGTTTGGGATTTTTTGAGACGCAAAATTATTTCTAGATCAATGGGACATTGATGTATTGATTTTGGATATTTTATGACACGAAAATTCGTTCAATGTAAACATGAAAAGAGTATACCAAATTTGGGGTTTTTTGCGACACAAAAATTGATTCGAAATGAATATGTAGCGCGGTTCGAGATTTCTCGTCGTATAAACCTTTAAAAATTATAATACTAAAGCGTAGACAAAAAGAACAACAGCAGAATAATTACGAGTGTGGGGGCACATCGCGCGTGATCTCATCTTGATTATTAATTATGATGGCCGGTTCTGCAACGAGTAGAGTCTGTCGCCTTTTGTTCTCATTTCGATATTGAACCGTAGTAATTCAGGGCATGTCCCATTTCCACCATTAACACATGACCGTCCAAAAGACAGATGGATCACCTTTTTCTTTTTTTTGGGGTTCAAAGATCACCACCATGATCAGTATGAGCTTAATGCTTACAGATGCCAAAATAACCATCAAAAAAGAAATAACACCTGGCAAAGTAAACCGACTTCGACAGGCAAATTGACCTCAAATATCAACTCGTTGGGATAAAATTATATTACTTGGTGTGTCTAAGGAAAGTGTCACGGTCCTGAGATTTTCTATGCATCGTTATTCATCTGAGAAGGCCGGGCAAGCATCTGTACTGTTCACTAGAATATTTCAAGGGCTGGCAAATTGGTCGGTTGCAAGGTGACCTCTCATTGGTAGATAGTGAGGTGACATCTTCACCGTTAAATCGAAAAGAGATCAACGCAAGCTCACTTGGGATGAAATTCCTAAGTCGCACGAGTAAAGGAACACGCTAGATCAACATGCTTCAAAAGTTGGAAAATTCTCTGCCAACTAATCGTACTTTGATCACCAAATTTCTACTTCATTCACATCCTAGCGCACAACAGAGGGGAGGACATATACAGGACCTAATGCTCATGAAAGGATGAGCCGTGCATTGCTCCAAAAATAGGAAAGACAGGATGATTCTAATTTCCCGGTCTCCAACAATGGATATTGGACTATCAGAAATTGCTTCCGCAGCACAAAGAGAGCGACTTACTTTCTTCCATCTGTACACGTGTTAAACCTAGCTTGAAGACTTGAAAGAACAAACTACCTTGAAGACTACTCTTACATCCGAATATTGCTAAGTATAGGTCGTTCTTTTCCGCAGCACCCACGAGCTACGGTAATGGCTCTAATTACATCGAGATAGTGGAATGTGAAATCATGGGCTATCGCTCCTCTGAGTTGAATTTGTTCCACGCCTCCTAAGATTGATGGACAAGGGAAGAAGACACATGAGAAAAGGTGAAAAGAGAAAGCAAACTAAACAGGGCACTCTCAAGATCTTATTGAATGGTTCTTATAAACATAATGCTGAATTACGTACTCTTAAAATACAAATGCACACCATCAATATGAATAACTCATTGCTCTAATCACATTTTGGTTGATAATCGCATGGCCATTTAGTTATGTGGAGATTAAGTGTCAAAATATAACAGTTTCATTTCAGCCTTAAGGTTTTTGGTGCTTACAAGTGGCTATGCGCAGGCAAGTTGAAAGCCAAAAGCACAGGTCAGAATATTGGAGACACACCTTGAGAAGATCAAAGACCTTTTCGCAGATGTACTTCTGCTGAATACTTGCACCTCGTTGTTGTAATTTGTCAGGATGAACACAGAGAGTGGCCTTCCTATAAGCTCTCTTGACTGCAGCGGAGGTTATCACTTCTGTCAGTGGAACGGGTTGCCATCCACTGTCAGGTCCTAGGATCTGGCAACCAAGGAAGTCCCACTTTAAGAAAAACTTGTGAACCAGTAATTTATCAATTTTCTAACACATCTATGTATGAACACACAATGTCTAAGGCACAGATGCAAAATACTTCAAAAAGAGATCTTTGGAGATCTCAGATGGGTCGATATCAATGGTGACTCATTATTCGATGAATCATTTCTTCGGACAGAAGAAGATAAGAAGGCCCAGAAAGTCTATAAAGTGATTTCTTCAGTTTAATTTGGCTGTTGGGTACATAAACTTAAAAGACTACAATTTCAATCTTCTTCCAGCAATACAGGAAAAGCAGGCTAGATTTCTTGCATGAAACAGATAGAAGTGCAAAAGCATACGTATTGCAACGTCGAGAGCAATGCACGTAGGTTCCCTTCTTTACTGCTTGACCACCTTTTGACGTCCGCATCAAGATTTTCAGCCAATCTCTGCAATTGTCACATATACAAGAGAGCGAATGAACCAAGATCTGTACGACAGCTGAAAGATCCACAATATATCACTGTTATGGAGAAACACTTACGTTTCTCTCTGCTTGCTCTCTCTGAGCAAGCAGATCTCGCATGTTCTTTTCTGCAAGAGCCTTAGCCTGAGGGCACCACAAAGGTGGATTAGTCATCAGGATGTTTCAAAAACCATTTTAAAGCAATGGAAGAGGAGAAATCATACTGCTCGTTCAGCTGTCCGTCGATGTCTCTCTAACCTTGCTCTAGACCTCTGAGCTGATTCACCTTCCACTCCTTCAGATCTCTCAGCATTATGAGAACCTTAGATACAGGTAAACCGAAACATTACAATCAATAATAGTTAGGAGATGGAAACAGAAAATAAAGACACGCAGTTTGGGTTAAAGCGCGCGCGCACAGTGTTAAAACTATTCTAGCAACCATACTGCTCACCACTATATCCAGAGGAGTATGCATATCTTGAACTGCTGGAAGAGCCTGCACTTTGGTTTTGTGTGTCCCTCAGATCCTGCAAGACAATATCACATAAGACACTATCAGACAAAATGCATGCCAATGTAGAGATAGCGACAAATCCACTAAATCAAAATATGTTCGCAGTAAGAGAGAAGTAGGAAATAATTGCACCAACCAATGATTGTGAACTTTCTCTCATTCCATTATATCTTGAAGTGGGGAACTTATCAGAAGTGGCCTTCTCAGCCATTGCCCTTTCAGCAGCACGCTCTCGAGCCTCTGCTGTGGCTCTCTCCACAGCAGCTCGTTCTGCCCTGAGCCTCGCCTCTGAAGATGACTTCTCAGTAGATGTTCTTTCCCGGGCCTCAGCACACACCTTCTCCAATCTTTCACGTGCCTCCGTAATTGCTCTTTGCCTAGCTTCAGCAGTTGCTCTCTCCAAAGCAGCCCTTTCTGCCCTCTCACGAGTTTCAGATAATACCCTTTCGCGGGCTTCAAGGGTTGCTCTATCAACCGCCATCCTATCCTTTTCTCGTTCCCTTTCTCTTTCCCTCTCCTCCTCCAGCTTTCTAAGGCGCTCCTTTTCCAGTCCTTGTTCTTTTCTCAACCCATCAGCATCTTTCAATTCTGTTATCGTTGCTCTATTTACAATCTTCTCTATTCCAACTCCAATATGGGGAGCATTGTGCTGCTTTCCTGTTTTCTGAGGGTTTAGTAGATCTGGCTGAGATGTCTCTGTCTTCTTTCCAATATCAAATCCCTCTTTCAAGACTTGAGTTGATGTAAACTTATCCTTCTTTTCATTTTGCTGCAACGGAATCCGGTTCTGCTTGATATTATCTTTTCTCTCTCCCTTTTCATGGCCAGATTTTCCCTCATTATATGAAGTACTGCAACTGGCACGTGAGACTCTTCCACTAGCCTCAACATCCATCTGCTCAACCCCAGCAAAAGTAGCACCAGTCGTCTTATCTCTGTTGTCCAAAGGCCATGACTCTCTGATGTTGTCCATTTTACATACATCCTCTCTATTTTTCAACTCGGCTTGGGCCACACCAGCAAACTTACTACCCTCATCAGTCATCTTTGTAATTTCAACTGCTGATGGTTTCTTTTCACTTCCAGACTCATTCCTAGAAACTTTATTGCCCTGAGTAGAGGCCTCCGTAGTTGTTGATGTATCCAAGTTTTCATCACATTCCCCAGGCGCACTATGTGACCGGATATTCTCATTCCTATTTTGCCAGCACGCCTGATCCTTCTGAGCTAGCATACAATCTTCTGTCAGACTACTAAATTCTCCCATATCACTTACTTCGTGGAGCCTGTCATTAATCACTTCAAACTCAATATTATCTTTGAATGCATTATCCAGGTCTTCCAGTTCGGATTCCTTATCAAATGCTGCTTTGATCTCTTCATTCGTCTGGACATCCATCAAAACTTCGCGATTTTCTGCAAACCCAGAAGCCTCTTCAACACATTTCTCGTTGTCTTCATTTGCTTGAGATTTATCGCCCACTTTTTCAGCTGCTCCTCTTCCACTAGCCGGCTTTAGCATCTCCCCACTGTCTTCCCGTTGCTTACCTTCTGCCAGTTTTTTCTCGTATTCATCACTTACATGAGCTTCTTTTAGTTTCTTCTCTCTCTCTTCCACTTCAAGAGCTTCTCTAAGCATCTTCTCCTTCTCTTCCTTCTCAAGAGTCTCCCTGAAATTCCTCTCAATTTCTTGCTGCTCACGAGCCTCTCTTAGTCTCCTGTCCGTCTCTTCCTTCTCAAAAATTTCCTTTTGCCTCCTCTCCTGCTCATTCGCTTCAAGTTCACGAGCCTCTCTAAGTCTCCTCTCGTTCTCTTCCTTCTCGAGAATTTCCTTTCGCCTCCTCTCGTTCTCTTCCTGTTCATGAGCCTCTCTTAGTCTCCTCTCCTTCTCTTCCTTCTCAAGAATTTCCTTTTGCCTCCTCTCCTTCTCTTCTTGTTCACAAGCCTTTTTTAGTCTCCTCTCCTTCTCTTCCTTCTCGAGAATTTCCTTTCGCCTCCTCTCGATCTCTTCTTGTTCACGAGCCTCTCTAAGTCTCCTCTCCTTCTCTTCCTTCTCGAGAATTTCCTTTTGCCTCCTCTCCTTCTCTTCTTGTTCACGAGCCTCTCTTAGTCTCCTCTCCTTCTCTTCCTTCTCAATAATTTCCCTTTGCCTCCTCTCGTTCTCTTCTTGCTCACGAGCCTCTCTTAATTTCCTCTCTTTCTCTTCCTTCTCAAGAATTTCCTTTTGCCTTCTCTCATTCTCTTCCCGTTCGCGAGCCTCTCTTAGTCTCCTGTTCTTCTCTTCCTGCTCGTGAGCCTCCCTTAGTCGTCTCTTGCTCTCTTCTTTTTCTTGAGCTTCTTTTAGCTTTTCTTTGTCTTTCAGCTCCTGGAGGTTTTTCAATTTCTTTTCCTCCTCTTCTTGCTTAGACACATCTGGTAATCTCCCTTTCTTTTCTTCTTCTTCAGCAGTCTCTTCCTTCTTTCGACCGTTTTCTGTCCACTTGAGATCTCCCTCCAGATTCTTCTCAGTATTTTCAATCTCGAACGTCCTCCTTCTGCCATGCTGAATTTTCTCTTGCTCGATAGCTATTCCAGGTCTTCTCTCTTCCCAGTCAGAAATCTGCTCTCTTAACTTGTAACTCTCCTTTAATTCTTCCTCAGATCCAAAGCTTGGGCTCACCTTTTCCAGATTCTTCCCATCTTGCCCATGCTGCACACCCTTTCTAAGGTCAAAGTCATTCACTTCACCCAGAACTTTGCCCATGCTCTCATCTTTCTTCACATATTGAGCATTCTCAGGCCTACTACAAGTTTCAATCTGATGCGAAGCCATGTTATGCTTTTTTTCAATCCCTTCACTCTGAACAAATCCTTCAACCACTTTATCTTTCCTTTCAGGGTCTTTTTGCCTATGGACCTGCTTAGCTGCCGTGGGATTTTCCTTGTTACCCATCCTTCGGCCACTGTCATCAAACTCCTTCCCCCTATATGCTTCTCTGACCACTTTCATCTTCCTACTGCTTTCTTGAGTCTCAAAAGCTTCAAAACCTGCGTTTTTCCCAATCTGCCCATTGCCATGATCGTTATCATACTCAAGAACTCTTTCCCTGTTTGTATGTTCATGAGCCCCTCCAGATCTATCAATTCCTGTCATTTCTGAAAGCAGTGTTGCTTCTTTCCATTCAGCAGCTTCCTCAGAGTAGCCAAACATCTGAGAGGAAGACGATCCTTTCCCTCGTCTTTTGGAGATATTTTCATCTGTACTACCCTGATGTGGCTCCATCACATTCCGCGTTATGAAGCTTTTCATTTCACCGCTATCTCTCTGATTGGTGGCTTGCACTCTCTCAACCTTTCGACTATCCATTCCGTCGGCCACCTTACTTCTTACTTTACCCATTATATCTTTAGAGTCTTTATGAGAACCCAGTTTTGTACGGTGCACACCCTCCTTCTTTCTTTCCATCAAGTCTCTGGCGCTTCTCAGTCTGGCTTGAGCTTTGTCCATCGCATCTTTCATTGCAGCAGCAGAGGCTACTGCTGCAGATGAACTGGCATCTATCTCTACATCAAAGAAACGGGGAGAACCATCACCTTCACTCCCTTCAGGAGACATCTCCTTCCAGCTTGAAGCCAATCCACTGGCATCTCCAATCTTGAAATCAAATGCAGGCGGCGGTCTCGAGGGTGGTGGCAGATGAGATGGTTCAGTCCTGAGGTTGATCTCCGAAATCGTCACAAATGCCTTATTGGGGCAAGAATTCATTCTTCCATATTCCCTCTGAGGTCTCATATCGTTTTGATATGTTTCTCGGAAATTGTCCGTGTTAGAGAGGTGTGATACAGTCTTCCTAAGATGTTTGCCTTTTCCCTTCATCCTTTCCCTGCAAAAATTAACATCTAGGTTGTCGTCACAAGTTCGCCACGAGGATGGATCTGAACACTCTTGATATGGAATAGCAGATCTTTGATCTACTAAATATGAGAAACCGGGAACAGCATGTATCTGATTTGCATGTCTAATCCCATTTGAAGTTTCTGAATTGCTTCCAATGTTGGCTTTATGGTACGACATGTTGTACTCTATGTCGGCATCAACTGAATTATAAGGATCCCCATTTGAGAAGTATTGATTACTCCCGGAATGGTCTGACTCCTCGGACATATAATCTGATGCTGATGGGGTCCTGTGAACAAAGAAGTTGAAACCGAAAACATGCTCTACAGTTAAAAGAAGCCCTGCTTCGCTTTGAGTCGGTTAATAATGCAGCAAGCCATGATATTTACAGCAAATAGCTTAATTCACGGTCTGTATGAAGATTATCACTTTAGAATTCAGAGTCTTTGCACACAATCATGAGGAAAAATGAGAGAATTAGCTGAAAAAATGAGTCACCGCACTTGGACAACAAACAGACGGTTTCCCATACTGAAAATACTCAAATTTCGCCCGAAAATGAAATATTTGCCTTGACAGAAAAGTTCGCTGCAATGCAGTTAAACCTGCCAAGTGACCGGATAGATCAAATTCAAGTAACTTGCACTTGCAAGAATGATTTGTCCCATCCACCAAACCCCACAAAACCAACCCCAAAGAATCACAAAAAGAAAAAGAAAAAAAAAATAAGAAGAAGGCCCCGTTTTGACATCTACACTTCACCTGGAAGCCCCATAAACAGCACCCACAAAGCAAAATCTCACCATCCCCAAGTAACTAAACCAGTCAATGACCAAGCGATCCTCATGAAACTCATTCAGCAAGCTAAAAGAGAAAAACAAATAATAAGAAGAAGATAAAGAACTTGATGCATTGTTCTACAAGCAAAGAACTCCTGACTAACTAACTCACCAACCAGAAAACCATTTAAATAGAGCAGAAACCGGACAGCTAAAGACAATCGCAGTCGCATTCTCTACTCTGAAAACTGAACTAAACCGACCCAAGAAAAGAAGGAATTTCAAAAGAAAAACCCAACAGACATTCAAGCCGAAGAAGAAGATAGAAAATGCACGCGCACGGCACGTACCAAGCTTCATCGCTGGACCCGCAATCCCCACCATTGGCCTGCCCGGCCAAGACCTCCCGCCCGTCGGCGAAATCCAGGCCCCCGGGCCCGCCGAACACCTCGGAGTAGTCGAACCCGGGGCTCCGGACGTCGACGAACGCGCCGCCCCCGCCCCCGCCCCCGGCCGCCGCGGCAGCGGCGGGGGGGAGATCCAGCACGGGGATCGCCGCGGCCCGGGGCGCGTGGAAGCCGCCGAATATCTCGCCGTAGTCCTCCGGGCGCGGGGAGAGGAGGGCGGGGACGCCGCCGTACCGGGGCGGGCCGCCGAAGACGTCGTCGTAGAGGGCCTTGGCCGCGGCCGCGTGCTGCGGCGGCGGCGGCTTCTTGGGGAGCTTGCCCGGGCGGAGGGAGGAATGCGGGAGGTTCTCCATTGCCCGCGGGGCCGCGAGCTCGCTAGGGTTTTCGCGGGTGCGCGCTTCGGCGGAGATGGTGGTGGTGGTGGTGGTGCGGGGTGGTTTCCGGGCGCTCGATTTCCGCAAAGATTGTAGCTTTCTTTCTCTGCTAGTTGCAGAGAAAACAGAGCACAGACATAGAGAGAGAGAAAGAGGAGAGAGAAAAGAAGGGGATGGAAAAGAAAAATATGGAAATACGGAAAAATAAAAAAAGGGGAAGGAAAGGGCATTATTTTTGTATTTTTTTGGGTGAAATGACGGAAGTGGGTCTGGGGACTTTTGTACGGCGTGGCTGTGATTGTGGGGCCCGAATTTTGCTGTTTTCGTGAATAATAATAATAATAATAATAATAATAATAGTAATAATAATGCGTGATTTTGTTCGGCTGCTGGAGGAATTCGGAAGCGGAAATTACTGGTTTGCCCTCTTCCTTGCGTTGTATTTACCGACAAGGATTAAAGAAGCGATGGAATTCCGACTCTAAAAGCTTTACTTATTGGGAATGAGTGACTTGAGTCATACTCTTCATATGAGACATCAACTTGGGCACGGAATGAGTGACTTCAAAGACGAGGCGACAGAGATTGGAATTGAATCTTGTCGAGATCAAGTAGGTATTGCACCCAAATCAAGAATGGAACGTGACATGAGAGAATGCCGTGCTGGAGACGGTTCAGTCGTGCTAAACATGGACCTTCGGGAGGCTCGAGTGAGGAGATGCGAGCGAGATACAAAACCATCAGTCAAAAGGGGGCAATGGAAGGATACGAGTCGGAAGAGATGTGTAAGGAAACAATCGGGAAAGATATGAAATGTCTAGAGATTCCGGACGATCTATTGAAGGAACCGAGCTCAACGATCGAGATAATATAAATTTTAATACAACAGACAGCAAAGCACATATGAGCATGTGCTCGAATGAAATTTTCAGTGAATTCTCCTTTTCATGTTATCTCCCTAATCTTAATCTTAAAGTTGATCATGTGTGTTAGCCTCTGGGTTTCAAGAGTAATCCCACGACAGCACACTTGTGGCAGAAGCTTGCATGGAAGATGAATCATTGATGCTTGTGGGAGATAGCTTACAAGCCAATCAAACTAAAACCTTAATTTAATGCCAAAAAAAAAAATTCAACAGAGATACATCAATTCTCTAACACAAACTTGTGGTTTGGTTTTCTCGTCCTATTTAAAGACAGATATACTTCACCCTAAAAAAAATAAAAATAAAAAAGACATTGGACATTTTATACATGGGGGAGTCCAATCATCATACATGCATTTGAAAATTTTAGGTGCCTATCCACGTTGAGCATAATTTGCTACCAAACCGTCCTAAATCAATGATAATGACTTTTATTTTTGTATATATATATATATGAAAAGTCCTTGTCACTATTTTACAGCTTTTTTTTGGATGCATTAACATCGTGGAAATTTCGGTCCTCTTTGGAGCCTCCAAGCCATTTGCAGAAAACCGACATGACCCTTACTTCTTTTTTATGTTATCTAGTTGCATAGTATAATGCCAGAGTGAAATAATTATTATCTAGGATGGCCCGTGATAACCTGTCGCAAACTGATTTTCACCTCGCAAAATATCCTGAATCGGTACCCTGCAACACTTTTACCCCGAATTAATATTCATTTCACGAAAAATTCTATTCTTTGTTAGCAGGGTGAGACGTGCCGGTTTGAGATTCTTCACGAGATGATATCAGATTGAGATAAATGTGTATTATGAGGGTACCGGTCCGAGAATTTTTGTTGGACGAAAATTGGATCAGGGAAAATGTGTCATGAGAGTACCAACTTAGAATTCTTTCATAGTATTTTCCTTTTTTCTAGGAGAAATTCATGCAACTCAAAAACTTTTTTTTTCTCCTTTTGGTTAATTGTACATGCTATTTTGCTGTAGCTTAGACTATACTTTTTTTTTATTATTTTTTTGCAATCTAAAAGCATGGTCATATTCAAATTCAAGTTGAATTGTACATTCAACAAGAGCCACCATTAAAATTGAAAGTAAAAAATCACTCCCAATCTCATAAGTCATAATTAAAAGTTTAAGCTATTCGAAACAATCTCGCAACGTACTTTTCAATTGCCTCTAGACAAAGGGGTGTGGACATACTATTTAAATCGTCCTAATCTTTGAAGCCAATCATGTAGCATTTCACGTGATTAATTCAACACAAAGAAATTAAGCTAGTGCTAGTGTGTGCTATTGTGCACTTTTTTTTTTATAACAAATCTTGAATAAACCCATATCTCTCATCAATAATTATATTCATTCATCCAAATCAATTAGAATAATTAAAAATTTATATAGGAGCATATCGAAATCCATGATGGTGTGCCAGCAAGATCTCTCATCCAACTCATGAGGAAAAAAAGAAGTAAAAGAATAGAAATTAAAAGAAAAGAAACAAATAGCTAAGACAGAAGAGACTAATGTGGCATAGTAGGACCATGCTAAACGTGAACATTTATACAACTGGAAGCTTCCACACATTCAGAAGATCTATGTTGCAGCTGCTGAGATAGATACAAAATTAATAGGTGGTCCTAATTCATTATTAGCCCTATAAGTCTCTATCTATGTATTGTCAATTACACGGCTCCTACAAGTCTATATCTATGTGTAGTTTTACATTCTTATCCATCTTTTTTTTTATGAGTTTAATTGCATAATTAATCCGATGATCGATTAAGAGTTTCGCCTTGGACATCAGTGGCTAGCATGTGTGATCGGGTTAAAAAACATTTACTTTTTCATCCATGTAGTTTCACGCCTTTTTCTAATCGATTTCCTATACTTTTAATTCGTCTAATTAAGGCCTTATGCAATACACAAATTTTGTAATGAAGTCCCTTCGATACCAAATGCAACATAATTCAGCTGATATGGCTGTTGGACGATGTCTAAGTATGATGCGAACAAACTATGATATACCCATGGGGACGTCATGAAAAATTTAGTCAATGTGGACGATGTCAGAATATGATGTCGATAAAACTTAGCCAATGCAGACATTCATGCTGCGAAAATTTCATCCATGTCACATTGTGACGTCGGCTGACAACTATATTAGCTAGATTTATTTGGGTTTGGTATCATAATGATTTAATTAGAAAATTTTATGAAAATAGAAGGATTCGATTAGACAAATTGTTGTAGCAAACGAGGAAAAGCAAACACAGAACACGAGGATTTACGTGGTTCGATCACAACGTGATCTACGTCCACGGGCGAGGCAAGACAAGATTCCACTATAATCAAAGAGAGTACAGTTTTCAAAAGTCGAAACAACGACAAAAGCTCACAGCTTACAAAACTCTCTGAAAATAAAATTCTCTCTCTCTCTCTCTCTCTCTCTCTCTCTCTCTCTCTCTCTCTCTCTCTCTCTCTATGTCAATGAGAAAACCTAGCCGCAGTATAAATAGTGCTCCCGAAATTTTTCCTCGAGGGCTACGCCCCCGAACCCCCCGAGACATTGGTTCGCTTGCTCCAGCTCGGGCGGACCGCCATTGAGATTTGTTCACTTGCTACGAGTTGGGCCTATCGGCCCAACTCTCCGCATCACGAACTAAATCTCAATTTTCGGGTCGCACAAAAATATGTCGGGTCGGGTGTTGAATCGGACCGAGAACATAAAATTCAAGACATATTTAACACAAATAAAAAGTGCAGGGCCTTGATTAAATGTAAAAATGCATAGACATGGATGAGAAGTAAAATCTAAAAAAAAAATTAAGCTTAAGCACAGTTGGCCGCCAAACATCCATCATGAAAAGAAACCATGCCTTGTCCCCAACTTGGAAACTTCATTAAAAAGGAAAGCAAGAGAGCTTGTGTTTCCGTCTTAGTATTGCACAAGCTACTCTTAAAAGTGTTTTGAAGACACTTATTAAACAATCAATTAAAAAAAATTCATAATTTTCAATACATCAATCACTCTATTACTGTGCATAATCATAATTCTCAAAATCAAAATCGAATATACTTCGATCAGTGTTACGAGACAAACTTTAACGTTACTCTTTATTCTATTTCCCACTCTTTTCTTCTTTGTTTCCTTTGATTTAAGAAGCTATTGTGTGTCCCATCATTACCTTCTCTCTCTCTCTATCTCAGACACTAGAACTCCTCCCGATCTCTCTCTCTCAGACATAAGAAAATACAAGGGAAAATGACACAAACAGTCCCTAATTTTTATCTCAATGTGCAATGCGGTCCCTAAACTTTTAATTTGTTCAAAGCCATTTTTCTCAATTTGGTTCCCTAATTACATAAAAATATTTAATGTAGTCCTTTCATTGATTCAAGTTTAAGAACTACATTGAATATTTTCTTATAATTCAAGGACTACATTGAATATGTATAAAAAATGCATGGACTATATTGAACATTAGGCTAAAGTTCATGGACTACATTGAACAAATTAGAAGTTTATGGATCAAATTGTACATCGAATCAAAGTTTAGGAACTATTGGTGTAAATATCCCAAAATACAAAGCCCGAAACGAGGTTCTTTGCGTTCTTGACGATCCACTTTAGCGTTTGGCTTTTGAGGTCTGTCTCTATATAGAAAGAACCATAAAAAAGCACTTGTTTCTGCCCTCTCATGACCTTCCCAGTTTCCATTTCTTCCTCCTCTTTGCATCGTTCGAAGATATCCCCAGAAAAGCAAAATCGCGCGAGAAAGACAAAGTTCGATTTCCGACACATTTTCTTAGTTTTCTTCTCCTTTTTTAAAGTCCAGATTTTTTTTTTCTCTTTTTGAGCTGGTGGCTTCTCGTCCATGGAAAAAAGCAGGGAAGTGCTGCTTCTGAAATTGTCTGAAATAATCTTTGACCCATAAAAAAAAAAGAAGAAGAAGGAAATTTGTCTGAAATAATTGAACCAAAGATGTGGGCCCCCATGAGTACGAGAAAGAGGAGCTCCCGTGGGCCCCGACACCCGCGTTGGCCGCTTTTGTTTTTTTAGGGTCACATCTAAATGGGCTCAAGCTGTCACCATGTTCTGGAATTAAAGTCCATTTCTTGATTTACATGCTCTGCACGTTGTACACCATACGTTTTGAAATAATAATAATAATAATAATAATAATAATAAATTGTATCCTGGGATACGTCCGAACCGGTTTTTAGGCATATTTATTTTGTGAAAAATAAATGATGTGAAAAATATTTTCTTAAAAGTGATCGGTTGTGTCATTTACAAATATGAATAAACGAAAATTGTTGCCGGAAACAAAAACATTTTCATTGACCAATCATTTCGAGCGATACAAGTAATCAGTTTAAGGAAAATATTTTCCCGAATCGTTCATTTTCCACTAAACAAACACACCTTTAACGTCTTTTCTGATTGATTCTGGCCGGTTCAACTTGTTTGATAAAATATTGAGCAGTAAATCCAATTTAATCTTTGAATACCATTTTGAAAATATTATTCCATGTAAGAAGAATTAGTGATTACTTCTTGATAATGTCATTACACGTCGCAAGATGGAAATCAGCATTGTAAAATCACATTTAGGAATGTTTCGACTTCGCTATGTTGATGCCAGATGAGTTCGACATCGGAGGATCTGTTAAATTTATTCGAGGATTTAGGGAAGATTTTTTCTATGAGCCGTACCGGTGGTTGTCAATTCCCATTTTGGCTTATTAGTTGACACAATTATCAACCAAAATATTTGGTTGTTTCGGCGGGAATTCGAGCTATACTTTTTAGGAATTAAGTCCTAAACCTTATCATGTTTTGCTAATTCGGTCTTAAACTTTTATATTGTGTCAATTAAGTCACAAACCTTTTCACATTTTGTCAATTGAGCCCATTTAGCCAATTTTGGTTGGAATCGACATAAGTATAATAAGGATTTGTTTAGTAACGTTTTTGTTCAAAAATAGTTTTTTTTTATTTCTATTCCCTGGACGAATTTCTGAGCAAAAGAACGTGTTTGGTAATTGCACAAAATTTATATTCCCAGAATAGAAAATGAACAAAAATATGTTTGGTATGACCCAATTTTTCATTTAATTATAAAATGTCAGTGGAGATTTAACAATTCATGTTTGAATAAAACTATACTAGAAATAGAAATAGAATATATTATGATATAGAATTAGATGATCTTAATACAATCATAAAGAAAATTACTCCTTATAGATAAAGCAAATACTAGGTGGTGGTCGAGGAAATTGCAGTTTAAAGTTTAGAGGTTTAGGGTTTGGGATTTGGGACTTGGATTTTAGGGTTTCGGGGTTTGGGATTTAGGGTTTGAGTTTTAGGTTTCGAGTTTTGGGGCTTGGGGTTTTAGGGTTTTATGTTTAGGGTTTGAGGTTTTGCGATTTAGGGTATTAGGAGTTAGGGTTTTGGGTTTATAATTTTAGGATTGTGGTTTTAGGGTTTTGGGTTTGGGTTTTGGGGTTTGGGTTTGTGGTTAGGGTTTTAGGGATTCGGGATTTAGGTTTTGGGGTTTTGGGTAATAGGTTTAGGATTTTAGGGCGTGAATGTAACCATTCTGTTTGCTTATTTTTCTATTTTTTTGTTTTCGGGAACAGGTTTGGAACAAAAATCCATTTGGTAAAATAATCTCATTTTTTTTTATTTCTAGGACAAATTTTGGTCCATAAATAGATTCGAAACAGAAATGAGAAATTAACATTTTTTACTTTTTTATTTCTATAACAGAAATAGAAATAAAAACTCTCTTTTATTACTCACCCTGGCCGCTCGCCGCCGCCCACTCACCGCTGTTGCTCGCCGGCCGCTGGCCATCTGCCGTCGCCTGTCTCCATTGTCGCTCACTGGCCGTTTGCCACCACCACTGCCGCTCATCGGTCGGTGGGAATAGAAATTTTGCATTGTTATCAAACGTATTTATATTTTAGAAACATAAATTTTGTGTCGTTATTAAACACTACTTTTTGCTCAAAAACTCGTTCGGGAAAAAGAAATAGATTTTTTAATTTCTAACCAGAAATAGGATCGGGAAAGAGAAATATTATCATTCGCGCCCTTAGCGTTTAGAGTTTGGATATTGAGGTTTAGGGTTTAGATGTTGGGATTTTGGGTTTGGGATTTATAATTTAGGTTGTAGGGTTTAGCATGAAAATATCTTGTGAAAAAGAGAGATAATTGATCTTGTTTCTCTATTATTTTTCCTTTTGTTTTTGGGAATAGACAAATAATTTTTAAATTTTTTTTTCAAATTTATTCTCTGGCCACTTTTCTATTTCGGGAAATAAAAACTGATGTTAGAAAATGGATCTATATTCTTTTTTTATTTCGAAGAATAAAAAAATAAAAAATTTGGAACGTTACCAAACACACGTTATCACTCACGACTTTTTGATAATTTTGTCGAGATTCCTCTTATCGATCCTGTTCACGTTAGTGGTGCTCATCAATCACGAGATCGTACGCGGAATGGATCTTTCTTGTTGTCAATGATGAACCCCAATTTCCTTCCTTCCTGCACTGAAATTTCTTGGCCGGCGTACATAGTGGGGAGGACATAATGTACGACGAGCAGACTGCCTATCATCTATTTTTTTTTTCTCTTTGTTTGAAGGTGGTGGGATTGCGATTCCATTGAAAACTAAACAAATCCAGACAGTACCTGCGAATTACGTACGGAAGTCGACCAATGATTCGTTTTATGCTGTGTCCTTTCTCTTCTGAAGTGATGCTTCTACCTATAATGAGAAAAGATAAAAAGAAAGCAGAAATCCAGGGATCAACATTAAAAAACTTCAAAATTGGGGTGACATAATGGAATTATTCTACACACACACATATATATATATATACAGACACATATATATGTGTATGTATGTATGTCTTTTGGTCCCAAAATGGTATATTTACGAGGGAATTCCAGGTTGGTTGTGGCCGGGAGTGCAAATTATTTTATTTTATGGGGGGGGGGGGGGGTAGTTTCTTTTTGAATTTTTCTCTTTCTTTTATTTGTTTTTCCTAAAAAGAAAAAAAAAATGTGTGGAAAAAGCATCCAGTTTTGGCATGACTAGCGTCGAATGGACTAAAAGTGCTCGTTTTACTTTGAAAATGGCAAACGTGTGCAAAGGCCTGACGTGTACATAAGGAAATTGAAAATTGAAAGATCATGCAAAATCACTTTATTATGAAATATCGAAAAAAAAATACCGTAAATTTTATTGAAGCAGTATCCCTTCCTCAAAGTTTCGTTTCAAAATGCCTCGTGAACTTGATTGTTTTAACTCAATAACCTCTGAAGTGGCGTCCATTTCCCGAAATTTTCTCATCGACTTGACTTTATTGCAACATATGTTGTCAATTTGATCACTTTGGTCCAGTAACTACTTAACTCATAGTCGTTAAAAAATAATGGCCCGCCAATAAACATTGCTCGTTATTTACATGTTTTGCCCCTTTATTAGGGGCATTTCCGAAAAAACCCATTTCTCCAATACTACTCACACTTGCATAAAACAGTTAAAATGCCCAATATTTGCCCCAACTTTTAAGAATTAAAAAGAACGAATTAGGGTTGTTCAGGTATAGATTGAAAATATGAGGAGAAAAGGAAATTAATTGTTCTTAAACTTTAGCCTAATATGCAATGTCATCCTTGGACGTTTAATTTGTTCGATGTGGTCATTGAATTAATCTTAAAAGTTCAATCCGGTCCTAAAAATTTCAATTTGTCCATTCTAGCCCCTCACAAAGTCAAATCAGTCCATCAGGACTATTTATAAGTTTTCACAATAACACTATTGCCTAGATTTTGGAATATTTCTTTTCCATTTCAATCCATTTCCTAAATTAATAAATAATATGTTATCTTTTTATTACCATTCTTATCTTTACGGGAAATCCATCATAAACCCCAAACTATGTCTACTGCGACACATTTATTCTAAACTTTTTTCTATGACATAAAAAATCCCAAACTTGTACCTATATGACCCATTCGCCCTCTCATTAAGGTTCTGTCAGTGAGCAGTGTTAAAAATCTATCTACATGGATGCCGGAAGGCAAACTGTGTTAATGCAGTGCCCACGTACTTAAGTGAAATAAAAACAATGTTGTTTTGGTTGAAAAATCATCTAACCCGATAAGATTGTTCGACCCTGCAACCGATTTCAAAGACAATTTTGTGCAGACACTATACCTCCAGAAACCTTAGAAAACTGCATTGATCTTGTTCGAGGGATGAACTGTGTCATACCAGCGTCAAGAGATGGAATGGAGCGGCGTAAATTCGGCTCCTAAACCCCAAACTCATCACTGGCTAGTAAAGTTGCAGCACCACAAAGTACATGCAGTTTCTTGCTTCTCTTAATAGTAAGGAACGTCGCTCAAGGTCACGAAACTAGGGTAGAACAACAGGGAAGTACGCGATTCAGACAAGTATAATCATCTGTCGTGCAAACTTAGCTCTTTCCAATCTAAACCTTACACGAACATTTGCATGAGTTTTGACGTGCAAGGCAGGGACAAGTGCCTAAATGTTACCATATTGAAGTTCAAGAGCTCACTCTACAGCATGTAACCGCTAATTTCAGCAGAAGATTTCGGAGAAAGGAGAAGGAAATAGAAAGCTCCTTGAAGAGTTGAACCGGGACCCTGGCGATTATACATGCTGACATCTGCCGGAACTTTTCCTGTGCATGCTCATGAACTTGGCCACGAATTCTGCGTGATGTTGCAAGTGATATCAGTAAGCAACAAGATACAACTTGGAATAGCAGCTTATAGAAAATGGCTTATAGCAAACATTCTAAGGGGTCCCTAAGACTTTCAACTTAGAGAGAACATAAATTAAATATGTGTAAGACAGCATTCGTAATAGGGATGCAAGTAGGACAAGTATGACAGGGTTCCCCACCAGGCCAAACCCTAACGATATGTAAAGCGGTAGAGGGTTTGGGAAAGCGGGACGGGTCTGGGGTCAATTGCTAAAAACCCTACAGGGTAGCTTGGAATTTCATAGTTGAGAAACTCGATATCCGAATCCGATATGTATGATTACTAAAATGCCATTTGTTTTCGTTATTATTTTAGTTGGTTGAGTTAATATACATTATTAACTCTATTGTGATTTATAATGGTTGTTGAGATATTTCAAGTTGCTTTTACTTTGTTAAAACTCTCTAGATTACTTAGTTATAGTATTTTGTTAGAACTAAAAACCAAATATAGTATAACATCAAATATTTCAACGACGATCACCAGTTCAATCCTAGCTTCTAATTATTATTAGACCTTACATTTTTTATGATCGTTAATCTTAGAATTCTGATTGGAGATTTACAATTCATGGGTTTCGAATTAATAGTTGCATTTGCAAATAGGAGTTTGTTTATTATCAATATAAGATTATTGTTTATTACAAAATACTGTGGCGGATTGCATAGACTTGACAAAAACCCTACTACTCTAGTGAGACGGGTTTGGGATATTATATCAAAACTTATAACGGTTTTGGAACCAAACCCGTCCCTCTTCCATCCCTAATGCCTTGCTTGAAAAAGAAGTGGGGAAGGATACAAAATGAAAGCTCAGTTTGCTTGAGAAATGGATTTTGGCTTTATCTAAAGCCTTTTGGACTGCCAAAATCTCATACAGGTTACGAGGGTTAAAATTGAGCAGCAGATCGCTAAGCACGGTAGCGACAGTGCTCACGCTGTATGGCTTGAGAAAATCACAATCAAACTGAAACGTTGGAGTCCTTGGAACTCCGTGGTAACGTTTAGAACAAGTTAAACACGTTCCAAAAGAAAGATGGACTCGGGGTTAAGTGCATTTTGATGGCACGTTCTTCATATGCATTCCATTTAATTTCTATTACCTTCTAATTTCAGTAAAGCAGTCGTCCCAGTTGGCAGTCTTTTATCCTGTAGAACAATAGGCAAAGGCGTCTCTTCAATGCTAATAAATAGCAAACAACCAAACTCGACGGAATATAACTTACGTAATAAGCATGCCAATAGTACAGGTCCCTCTTAGAACCAGCCTCTACTGCATTCAAAAACTGTTCCGTAAGCTTCTGCGCAATCAAAATGAACACCGAATTAGGACCTGCAACTATAAATATGCCACTACGTCAAAGGTATGGAATGCATTACCAGGAGTATCAGTTTGGGGTGCACGAAATCCACCAGAAGTTTCTGAATCTTTCCCCGTACAAAGAATAATCTGCTTAAACCATGAACAAGATCATTTGGTTTTTTCATCCACAATATGCAGAAAATATTAGGAAGTCCATAACAATTTCATTGGCAAATAAATTTGAAGGCTTTCAAGGGATGTCGAGAGCGCCTCATGTTGTTCTCTCTGAGGCTAACATGAATTGCATCATCCTAGGCTTACTTCCGTTAGAGCTTTGTCACATGCAGACCACTTAACTAACAACCGCATTGCTTGCGTTATGCTATTTATCTGATCTTCTGATCTTTTTGAGTGTCAGTTATATCTGAAAAAAGTTTTAAAGAGTGAATTTTATGGGAAGTTATCTTTCATGGAAAAGTATAACTTTGAGATCTACAAACAAACAGGAAGCAAAGGAATAGAAAGAAACATCATATTCTAAAATGATCACTCCAAAGCAGAAGCATTACTGATTCTTTTAAAATCGACCAACCACAATTTCTTCCTCTTAACGGGATCAATTAGAGAAGTCCCATGGCAATTCAACTTATCATATCACATACATATTTCTAGTCCCTATCTACGTTTTAGGGAACTGATTTACTTCTGGAAGTGTCGATTCCAATTGAAATTCTAAAAAGGTCACTCCAAAGCAGAAGCATGACTATTTCTTTTAAAATCAACCAACCACAATTTCTTCCTCTTAACAGGATCACTTAGAGAAGTCCCATGGCAATTCAACTTATCATATCACATTCATATTTCTAGTCCCTATCTACGTTTTAGAGAACTGATTTATTTCTGTAAGTGTCAATTCCAATTGAAATTCGGGCAAACATATGGGGCTGTTTCACATTTGAATTTCTGTGTATTATATTTTGATTTGTGTCCCTACCAGGTTGAATCCATTTTGCGAGCCCTGGAATCTCATAACCTATGCAAGAAGTACATACCTTTTTTGAGTTGGGTCAGCCAGAATTTCAGCAGCAAGTTCCACTAGTACCTCTTCCCATCCCAATGGAATTGGTTGGTTATCTACGAAAGGGTAGCTGTAAAGGAAAATTTCCATGTGAGATATTAAAATGTGACGTAAGACCAAGCAAGTGCTTTTGACAGTGTGGTGTTCACTTGTGTGCTTTGCATGCTTCAAGAGCCATAATAGCTTTTCTGAGGTTCTGTTTCGATTTGGCGGCTATCTTGGCAGCGAAGTTCATTGATAATTCAAAGTCTTCCTTCCTTGCTATTTGGATGAGAATCTCCATAATCTGGGAAAAGAAAGATGGCATGAGCAGAGACAAGAAAAAGCGACGAGCTCTAATTATAACATTCGGAGTCCACTGAACATAATTGGCTGCATAGATTTTATATGGCACATAATGATAATAAAACTGTCACATCCTTATCTTTACTATTAACAGCGGAGGAGGAGAAAAGCAGAAACAGATGAGACTAGCCTAGCACATAGTAATGATCACCTTATGGATCACCGTACATGCTGTCCAGCAGGATTTAAAAATGCACATACTTTTCCTTCGGCCGAACCAAGAAAACAAAATAAAACGATGACCTGGCTAATTCTGACATTATTCCTACAAGGCTACATACACTAAACTTGTGCCTGGTCATTAAATGGAAACCAAAGATATCTCCACAAACTACTAACTTGCTTGTATCAATTAAATCTTTGTAATTTGTATCTGTTAGTTCCAGGGCTGGCTAGGCCTAACTGTGAAGTAACATAAGAGATGATAAATGAAAATCTGAATGTATAAACAGGCCTACGGATACATGCTGAAAAAATTAAGATATGTCATTTTAATGTTACGCACAAGCTGTGCACATCCACACATTCCAGTTTAAATCATAAGTAGCAGTGACAACAACAGCAACAAATAAGCTAATTTTCAATTGAATCTGCCGGTCTATATTGTTTTTTAATTAAGCATGTCAAATAAGCAACCAACGTATAATTACCTCATGAGTGATTGGAGCATCAACATTGATGACTTTGCAGCGGTTTTTCACTGATTCAAGAATAATTCCATCATCCTCACAGCACAGCATAAGTTTACAAGAATCCGAATAGCAGTCAATTATCCACTTGATCAAGTGTTGGACGTTTTCTGCTGCTTTGTCAATCTCATAGAGCACTATTACTGAAGTCAACAAGATAAAAACTCATAAAAATATACACAAGGATCATAATGCAGAGAGAATTTTATTCGTTCTAAGAGATGCTGAACCTTTATAATCTGCCTTGAAACCTGAATGACTGACTTCAGGGATGATTGCATGATTGCTACTAATTTCCTTGACTAAAGCCATTAGTGCAAATCTGGAATTGGTTTCTTTATGTACATTCAGCTCCACATGATGAGCGCTGGATGCCAGCGGAATAATTACTTCCGTTGGCCTTTTCTCCTATGTACGGAAAGCAAAGCAATAGGCACGAACCAAGTATGTCATGATTAGTACAAGAAAAACAGGGGAATCAATCAGCCATGAGAATAATCTGTGTTGGAGAATCAGCATCATTTTTGGGAAAAATGATCGTCCAAAGCACGAGCTGAAAAATTGTAGATTAGGAGAAACCAAAACAAAATGAAAAAAGAAAGGAGGAATGTTGCTCAAATTTTGGAAGTGCAAAAGAGACGACATCATTGCCAGAATTTCACATCTGGAAATACATAATTCTAATTCTATAGGATCTTTATGTACCTGGATATGGAAGGATCGTAACTCATGAGTTACCTACAGGGAGGGAAATTAAGGCACCAGTCAGCTACAGTTCCGTTAACGTATAAACTTGCAAAACTGATACAAATTATTACCAAAGACATACATTGCAAGACTGGTCACCGTAGATTTCACTTAAAAGGGCCATTGTTAATGCCCTTTTTCCAGATCCAGAAGGACCCTTCAACAAAATATGAGGGCAAACATCATTTAACACCTGCAGATCCCACAGAATTTGAATTCAGATATAGTCTCAATAGATCATCCATTCAGGTAGTATTGAGAGACCAATACTAAGAGCGGCCCTAAATATAATGTTATCACTACATTTATAGCAAAAGAATAAAAATAGAGAAATCCAAATGTGAAAATCTAGTGCATAGGGTACTCTTTACTTGTAACACGTTGAATATAATTGATCAGCTAGCACACAGACAAACACCAGGAAGGAAGGTCATAAAATTCAATTACGCAGCATAACTTACTAAATTTTTAAGAAGTTGTGCTTCCTGTTTGTGGCAACTGAATCCATCGAGAGAACGAGGTTGATGCTTATCAGCCCAAAACTGCCTCAGGTTTTCAACCACAAATGCCTTCTCAATGAAGGAGGCTTCATCAAAGGCTCTAGTAGCTTTGGGTGATTTTGAAGTCCTACATGACCCTTTCCTCATACAAGCAAACCATGCTTCTGTTTGGCTCTTCCTACGGTTGGCTGTAAATTTCTTAATGCTATCCGTTGTTCCAGCACTGAAGTCACTCATCTTACTACTCACAGTGCTATTTCTGTTGCTGCTTTGCCTACTTATGTTGGAACTTAAATTTGGGGCCGTCCTTGATGCACTCAAACTAGATGCACTCCCTTGTGGATTATGGTCAGAGCCACCATTTGATCTCATCCGCTGATGAGAAATGTCCCTTTGTGGAACAGTTTTGGGTATCGGAACAAAACGTGTATCCTGCTCATCATTTCTTGGGAAGACATTCTTCTGAAATGCCAAAGCTGTGTGGTCCCGAGAAAAGAAAATATTGCCAGGTGATATGGAATCTGTGCTTTCAAAAATACTAGCATTATTCATGGGACCTCTATAGAGCTTTAAATTTGCTACCATTTCATTAATCTCACCAACAGAAGGTTTTCTCAAGGGAGAAGCTTCCCGCTGTTTCTGAATCACGTTTCTTTCCAATGGTGACAGGGTCCGCTCTCCCTTTGGGTTGTTATGCTGTTCCCTGTCCCTTGCTCTCTGTTTCGGTGCAGTAACAGATCGCTGACTGTAGTTTGATTTCAAACTTACTCTACTCAGATCAAGGAACTGAGGATGGCCTTCCCTATCGTCCCTTGAATGTGTTCTACGGTTTAACTTCCTGTTTGAGATTGTAATCTCATTTTCTTCAGTTGCATTTTCTTCTATTCCCAGCTTATAAGGCGAAATATGCCTCCGGTGCTCAGGTTCTGATAAAGGACTGACATTTCTGCGTGCATCTGATCCACCTTTAGGAGAAAGAGCATTTCCATTATCTCTCCTCGGCTTGTACGGCGACTTACTGCTGTGTCTCCGCCGAACTAAACCGGCTTCAGTTTCTTTTTTAGGAGAAGACCCACCAAAGAAAGGTTGCCTCCTGCTCAGCTTCAGGGGACTAACGTTCCTGGGCCGGCTCAAATCGACTTTCGGACCTTCAAACTCCAAATCGTCATTGTGCTGTCTCTGCTCCCGCCGTGGATTCTCGTGCCACTCCGTCTCTGTATCGGACGGCTCATAACCGCTCCTCAGCTGATAGGGCCTGCTATACTTGGGAGGATTCTCCATTCTCTCAGGAAAGAGAAAAAAAAAAGAAGATCCAGGATTCGCTGAACCCACCTTACTGTGGCATTACCAGAAACGTTTATCAGGCACAAGAGAAAGACCCAGAATCCCAATGAAAACGATCTTGTTGTATAGCAAGTTTGAGAATCTAGAACAGTGTGATCGTGGACTATATAGCCGATCTTGGAAAGAACGGCGCGAGGGGCATCTGCAGCAAGCGACATGGGAGCATAATATAAGGCGGGAAACGGTTAAGGAGAAGAATCCAATGGTTCCAAAGATGAGCGCATCGGTGAAGACGAAGCGAGCAAGCTGGAGACACAGGAGGCCGTATACACAGCTCGTTGACAACCATAAAGCTCGAACCTTTTCCTGCAATTTCTATGTCTGGCATTGCGGATCTCCTTGTCCGGTGTCGAGGAATGTGTGTTTTTTTGTTGCTGCTTCCGATGACGGGAGAAAGATGGGTTTTTTAATGCCACTTTGTTGTGCGCCGGGCTTGCCGATGCAACGACGTCAAACCGACTTTTTGCAATTAACTTCTACGCATCTACAAAAGATTCTCTTCTGTGCACGTGCACTTTGCTTCGTCTTGATGGGACATTCTAAGTTTCCGTGAGCATTTGCACACTTACATATAATTCCGAAACTTTGTCCAAATTTGTAACGTGATCCCTGAATTTTTAATTTGAACTTTTGGTACATGTTCTTAGTCCATGAACTATATGAAAATGTTCAATGTAATCATTTTATTAAAATAAGTTCGATGATCAATAATATAAGGATCACATTGAATATGTACTAAAAGTTCAGGAACCATATTAAATAAATTAAAAGTTCAGGGATCACGTTAAACATACGTTGCAAGAACTGTCTGTGTTATTATTCATTTGTGATAATATTCCACACTTCATTTTCTATCGCTCATTAATGACGTCACAAAAAGTGGGAAAGCTTCTTGGTTCCCCCATGTCATTTCAAGAAAAAAAAAGTGCATAAATTGCTTTGATAGTGATCTAGAAGGTATATCCATTTGGAATCTTTTTTTTTCAGCCGGTGAATGCAAGACTGTACAAAATATTTCTTTGATAAAATCGTGTGCACTCTCTCAAAGACTATATGTATACACACGTCCAGAAGCATTGGAAGATGACTTCTAAAATTTGCTCATCATTTGCTCGATGATTGATCGAATAGTCAAATCATGCTCCGGAATAAAAAAATTCATGTCACGAAGTCCTAATCCTCGATATGTTGCTACAATTGACAAAGATTTTCGAGAAATTCATCAGTTCTTTCTTCTCCTTCGGTTTTGTGAATTGTTAACATCTAATTCGTTATCCATGTTCCGATGGAATAAAGTCAAGCTAAGCTTAATATTCATTTTCGAGTCCTTGCTTATAGGAAATTCCAATACCCTTTATTCAAAGTATGACATTTCTTAACTACAAAAACACTTGCACTATTTAGGATGTCTCATTCTCTTGTTAAAAGTATGACACTTCTTAACTACAAAAGCACTTGCGCCACTTTAAATGTGCTTTTTTTTTCACAGAAAACTAATGTTTGGAAAATATTTTTCCAATAATGATCACTTGTATCACTCATAAAAATGAACTAGCATAAATATTCATCTTGATAATGAAAGTATTTTTCATTTACTAATTTTTCTTCTAAACAATACAAATAATCATTTTTAGGATGCTTAGCAATTGAGTTGATAGTGGCAAAGGCCATTTTACAGCTTAATAGGCAACTTGAGGGCAAATGAGAACAGGAGCAAACAGCAATGGGACCATCAGCAGAGTCGAGACAAGTATCTGTCACAAAAGACCAGCACTCAGCACAGCACACACACACGGAGCAACGTACCATATCAAATCAGAAGCAACAAAGTTGATATTTTCCTTTATCACATAGGCCTTATCCACATTGGCAAGAATTAAAGCCACAGAAACTGCCATCCCGGATTTCATCAGTTGAATCCTTCACTGGCTTGTCTTCTCCGAAGCAAAAGTATCCAGAGCCTAGCCATGGCTATTCCTTTGCAACCGCTGTCTCTTCTCGAGGTTTGTTCGACCATGGATGAACTTAAGCAGATTCATGCAAGTATGTACAAAACAGGCCTTGTTTCAGAACCCATCCCTTTAAGCAGACTTCCCGCTTTCTGCAGCTCACCGAGTTCCGGCGATATCAAATATGCAAAAATGCTGTTTAACAAGACTAGCAGCCGAAATACCTTCATGTGGAATGCAATGATCAGAGGATACTCCGACAGCCCAGAACCAGAACAAGCCCTTCTTCTGTACAGTGAGATGATAAGTAATTCAGTCCCACACAATACCCACACCTTGCCTTTCCTACTCAGAGCCTGTTCTAAGTTGCCATCCTCAGAGGGGACAATGCAAATCCATGCTCGAGTTGTGAAAATGGGATTTGGTTCGGATGTCTTCGCCATCAACACCCTGCTCCATGCATATGCCGTGTTTGGCAGAATGGAAATTGCACGCCTCCTCTTCGCCCAGGCTCCTAGACGAGACATCGTGTCGTGGAATACAATGATTGATGGATATGCTAAGTGTGGTGAAGTGCGGGTAGCTTTCAAACTGTTCAGAGAAATGTCGGAAAGAAATGTAGTCTCGTGGACGTCGATGATTTCTGGCTTTGTAAAAGTGGGAATGAACAAGGAGGCCTTAAACCTGTTTCAGGATATGCTCATTGCACGTGTTAAACCTGACAATGTAGCTCTGGCAAGTTCAATTTCAGCATGTGCACATCTTGGAGCAGTGGATCAAGGCAGATGGATTCACATGTATATTGACAGAAACCAGATAAAAATAGACCAAGAGCTATATTGCGCACTGATAGACATGTACGGCAAATGCGGTCACATGGAAGAAGCTTTAGAAGTTTTCATTAAATCGAAGAAGAAATGTGTCTCCATATGGACAGCAGCAATTTCTGGTTTTGCAATTCATGGACAGGCAAGAGAAGCAATGGATTTCTATATGCAAATGCAGAAAGCAGGGATCAAGCCAAATTCGATCACTCTTACTGCAATTTTGACTGCATGTAGCCACTCAGGACTAGTTGATGAAGGAAAATCAATCTTCAAGAGCATAACGTCAGTTCACAACTTGAACCCAGCAATTGAGCATTATGGTTGCTTGGTCGACCTTCTTGGCCGAGCAGGGTTGCTAAAGGAAGCCAAAGAGGTGATTGAGACAATGCCCATCGAGCCAAATGCTGCCATTTGGGGAGCACTCCTCAATGTCTGCAAAAAGAATGCAAATGTCAAGTTAGGCAAAGTAATTGGGAAGAAACTGATGGAAGTAGACCCTGGACATGGCGGTCGATATATTCATGCAGCGAGTATTTTTGCAGCATCAGGAGAATGGGACAAAGCAGTGAGAATAAGAAGAATGATGAAAGAAAAAGGAATAAGAAAATTTCCAGGGTGCAGCAGCATTACCATAAACGGGTCTGTTCACGAATTTTTTGCTGGCGACTGTAAACACCCGCAACATAAGGAGATTCACCAGATGTGGCATCAGATAGTGGAGAGACTAGAACTGGAAGGATATAGACCTGAAGTTGAGAATTCGCTCCTTGATCTTGAGGATGAGGAAAAAGAGGTAGCCATTCATCAGCACAGTGAGAAGCTAGCAATTGCATTCGGGTTAATCAGCACCAAACCGGGGACGACCATTCGAATCTTTAAAAACCTTCGTATTTGTGAGGACTGCCATGTAGTAACAAAGATGATCTCCAAGATTTACTCTAGGGAGATAGTAATGCGGGATAGAACTCGTTTTCATCTGTTCAGAGATGGAATATGTACTTGTGGGGACTTCTGGTGAATAAATGCAGACACATGTAAGCACATGAAATTAAAAATCGAGCAGTATAGTCTCCTCATGGAGTATGTTATTACAACGTAAAAATACAATTGGCCACAATAGTGAAACCAAAAATACGAAAACGAGATTTCCACTAGCTCAACAGACTTTTGTGTTTTCAAGGTTTCTTTTAGTGATTATTTAAAGGGAAATTAAAAAAAAATTAAAGTACGAGGAAAGTTTCTTCATAGCTCTTCAGGCAATACTAAGTATCTGCTTGGCCACCCAAGACTGCTGAGGCTCTATCTGGACATTCCCAATCTGCCGCAAAATCAAGACGAAAATAGTCAGCAAGTAAAATGGCCGACCCACCCATTACAGTGTTTACCAGTATGATAAATAGACAACCTGGAGTTAACAAGTTACATTAAACTATTTAAGCATCTTCCGTACCTTGGCATTTTCAACGCAAACAAAGTCTCTGTAACATGCTTCCATCTGTAGATGTGGGTTCCACAAGACTGCATCTGACCAACTATAGAGACAGGGGCCAAAAGTAAACTATAAAGAAGAAGGAAAATTTTCAAATCCCAACAAAGCATCATAGGCTGTTTTCCACACACACTTACTTCGTATTCTGGATGGTTATAGTATCTCCCAAGCCATTATCCAGAATCACCTCACCAGGAGCATCGAGATAAATGCAATCTACAAACCCAGGAAATGTGACAATGTCCCTGATATGACATGGCATTATCAGAAAATACAGTACAATTTCTAGCAAAAGATCCACCGCATAAGCAACAAACTTAATGGACATGCTGATGTACTGGAGAACATAACATCACTGTGATGCATTTTGATAGAGTGAGGGAAACATGAGAGTGGGCAAGCCAACATGTGAGCCACAGTCACTTTGAAGAACAACGGATATTTCTAGGCAGAATTCAAAACAGGTGATGCAGAAAATAAGTTACGATGTAGTTATAGTTAAACTGACTATACATATGCATGCTAGATATACAGTTGGGTTACCCTCCTCTTATAAGTGTTGTATAGATACACAAAAAACAGACAAATTGCCAAGTCTACCATCAGGGCTTCATTTTCTTTCTTTAGCTTTCAGCTTTACAGAGAATAAAATTATGCTACAGTAACTCTGACGCAAGACAGAGAGAGAGAGAGAGAGAGAGAGAGAGAGAGAGAGAGAGAGAGAGATTACCTTTCTTCCTTTCCCTCTAGTGGATTTTTTGGATCGGGATCTTTGTTCAATGTCTTACAACCCTTCAAACCTCTCACAGAGGCAGCTGTTACAGAAGCCTAATTGATAGGATAAAAAGATCAGATATGTTGAATTTCACAATTCTTGAAGTTATAACTATCGAACGACACTTTATTTATGATCATCTGCTCAGCAGTCTGGAATATACTCAAGTATTAGGCTCATCTGAGGCAGAATCATATCACAGTTTCCTGCTTGAATCCAGTGCTTAATATTTGTGCTCATCCTATAGATATCCACAAATAGATACATTGACTTTATATTTCATACATCCACCTCGATTCCAATCTTTCCATGGTCTGCCGATCAGTAAGTTTTAGATTACAGCCTGATTTACGTACACTTTCCTGGGTAATAAACGTCCTAAAATCATCTACTGAGCACTATGTCTCAGAACTTACACGGAAGTATGTATGCAGGGCAGTATTGAATGAAAATGGCTTTGTGTCTGTATTTGTGATAACCAACTCGGTAGAAAGGCTCTTCTCTGTTAAGTAGACCTGCAAAAGAGAGAAAATTGAGTTCCAACTGCTAACATGTGCTTCTAAACTTTAAATCACACAAGAATCTTGAAATTTTGATTTAGGGTCAAGGGAAAAATTAAAACTTTAAACCCAAAAATGAGTTGATGAGCTTTATTTAACCGGAGGGTCTTGCAACATGTGAGTAAGGGTAGAATGACAGATAGCTCAGAATTCTTTGCTTGGGGAACATGTCATACCTTGTACAAAGCTTGAAAGCTGAAATCCCACATGGAACGGCTGTAGGCGCCATCCTTCAATCCTAGGGTTACAATTGGATTCCCATCCTCAGTTTGGGATTCAGCAACGGACCAATCCATATTCCTTGCAAATCCATGCTACAAAATGCACAGCCAACAAAAGAATGGATAAAAATTATAAGTAATTAACCCATTGCTAGCTTCAGAAAGATTTCTCCATCAGTCCCATTTGGTTTCATTGTCAAGCTGAGGTTTTAATCAATAGGGACACAAGCACAGTAATCCGTGGGTGAATGGCTCTTGCTTGAAAGTTGAGTTGATTACGACAAGCATATGGTAGTTGTGAAGGATCATGAGTCTAAATGGGAAACCTCATAAAGACACTCAGAAAAATGGCAAGGCATACCTGCTGCATTGGACCCGGTCCAAACTGTGGGAAACAATGCGGGACACCTCCACTGTCCCAGGAAATATAAGTCAGTGCAGGTGAAACCGCAAGTTTTCAAGGCAAAGATACAAGCAAAGTTATGCTACTAAGCAGTGATTACATGAAGCACACTTTGGAGCTATGCAAATTAACCTTGAAGAAATTTATGTTTCTTAGACTCTGTAAAGTTGGGCTATTAAATGAAATTTCTGTGATCTCTCTATTTTTTTGAGATGTCATCTTTCATAAAGTTTCGACTTATCAGATTGCCACAGCACGCTGTCTTTGGCTGGAGCCTAAATAGAGGCCTGAATTGCCCATTTCGTCATTGGATGAGTATTGGTTTCCCAAACATGCATGGCCTTAAGTTATGGAACTGACCAGAAAGTGTGATACCTCAAGGCTATATTGGCCTATTCTAACTCAGAATAGTAAACAAGAAGGGCACAAATTAAGGTCGATGGAGTCACTTTCTCATACCAGCATCATATACAGTGCTCCAAAATAGTTTTTTATATGCTTCGACATACTGCAAAATTCAGTCAAACCAACTGCCGAAACTCAAATTCAGTAAGACATGTGCACCTATTTTTGTCAAATTATAAGAATGCATTCAAGGAGCACGAGGTTAGAAATGGAGAAGTTCACCTTATTGGTTTCTTCTTGTTAAATACAGCATCTGGTCGAACAAATAGGAGATCCTTGTCTTTGGCAACTTTCCAGGATGTGATGCAACCACCATAGAGATATATCTCTGCCTCACTGAGAAGGTAGAACTAAGTGAATGAAGAAGCTCAAACATGCTCATCAAAAGATTGATGGCAATAAAATCTTAGAGTATAAGAGTCGACTATTTAGCGAGATCCTCTCAAAAGTGCACATCCACGTATAGCATTCGGAAAAAGGAAAATGATTTTTCAAACACTATACATAGTGTTAATCCTGTTGCCAACCCACATTTCCAAAACTTGAAGCAGAGGTGCCATACAACAGCATATGGACCTGCACTTGAGACCCCAACTTGAGTCTGAGTAAAACAAACTGATTGAAAAGCCAACAGAGAGCTGTGATATAACTACAGTTTAAACCACCTGGACATAGTTCGCAGTTTGCACCAATTTAAAACTTGTACTCTGGCTGATCAACTAAAAGATACTTCAGCAGTTAAACAAGAGGCATTTTGCTCAGACACATATAAAAAGCCCGAGGTATGCGAAGTATAATACTGAATTCACGCCACACCATTCAAAACCAGGTCGAAAGAGATGATCAGGCAAGGAATGCGCCTAGCTGGTATACGTTGCCCAGTCGCTTTCTTTGTGCTCATCGAAAATTCTCACTTCCCCTATTTCTCCACGGGTCAACTTCCCCAGGATTGCGCGAACCCAAAAATACAACGCAAAGCTAACTCAACTTATCATGGAATCAATCACAACAGGACATCCTAAAGTAGGGAATGCATCACGTCGCGAAGGTCGTAATCTGAATTTCTCTGTCATTTACTTGGCAATAGATCTCCTGTTTTTGGATTATCTACATTCTGCAACATGAAACTCCTAGAACAGCAGACGACCACGCGCCATCCAAACACGGCAACAAAAACAACGTCGTCCCAGTCATCGATATCGCCACAGAACACGGCAAGAAGGTCCACTTAACGCAAGAAGAACTCAAACCTCCGCAGCCTCAAATCACACCAGTCTCAGATCCATCCGCACGTTGCCGAAAGAGAGCACGGACAAATGCAAGCGAACAGAAGAAGACGCTCAACTCACCTACCACGCGCCGAAGTGAGCACCAGCTTCGGCAGCTTCCCCTCGCCTTCCGTCACGCTCACTCCCGCGCTCGCGAACGCCATCCCGACGCGAGGGCGCCCGTACCTGCACCGCCGCCGCCGCCGCCGCGAGCGGTCGATTTCAGCCCAGAAACAAAGAAAGAAAGCCGGAAATTCGCAACGCGATTCCAATGCCGATGAAGCAGGAGCTCCGTATACGAATCGCAGAGAGAGAGAGAGAAAGAGGGAGAGAGAGACTGACCGGCGGAATCGGCGGGAGCTGGGGAGGTTAACGGTGGCGAGCGAAGAGGTCGCAGAAACCGTCGCCGCCATGAACGAGCGCTTCGGAATTTTACAGTTGGGGAGTCAACTTCGTCTGTATAACGAAAGGAGGGAGGAACGAAAGGGAGGGAGGCCGTTGAGTGGAATGATCGGACGTACGGCGTCGGGCTCGCGCATGGATAAAAAGATCTCCGCCGCTCGTTTTCTTCGCGGCTTTGTGCTGCCGAGTATATTTCGCATATTCACTTTTGTCGGGTTAATACAACGAAAAATTCCAAAACTTTAATAAATTTACCCAGACTAATTATTTGATCATTAAAAAATCCAAACCGATATATAATTGATCCCGAACTAATTTTTTAATCACCAAAAACGACAAGCTCACAAATTTACCATCTATTAGTTTCAGTTAAAATGGATTAATACTACGAAAAATCACAAATTGCTACACTTATGACAAAAGGAGGGTAAAAACTTAGACCGATACATCCGTCAACCACCACGTGTTATTCAACTTAATAATTTGACGGTAAAATTTAACAGAAATTAACAGGGGTAAATTTGTCGCGAGTATAATTGTTTGTGTTTTTCGTAGTATTAACATTTACCCTTCTCTCTCTCTTGATGTACGGGAGTCGCGTAATATACAATTTCTGGAGCTTTTATTGCCATTTTCGATATCAAACTGTTGACACCTATAATTAATTATGTTGTCGACAACCGAAATAAATAAAATAATAATAAAAGACGTCAAAGAATGACGTAGCCCATATGGGATGGCTCATGTAAGCAAAACAGCTAGCAAGCACTAGGAGATACCGGCGGGGAATTTGAAATTGAAAGAGCTCGAGTCATAGAAAGAGCGAGCGTCGAGGCTGTCGACAAGGGAAAGGATAAATGTCAAGTCAGGAAGAGCTCGACGACGGTTATTACCCCGGAAAGGACAGGTGTCAAGCCAAGAAGAGCTCGACGACGGTTATCACTCCGGAAAGGACAGGTATCAAGCCAGGAAGAGCTCAACGACGATTATTACCTCGGAAAGGACAAATGTCAAGCCAAGAAGAGCTCGATGACGGTTACTGCTTTGAGGAAGACAGGTGTTAAGACGATATAAGCTTGATAACGGTTACTGCTTTGAGAATGACAGGTGTTAAACGGTATGAACTCTACGACGGTTATCACCTTGGGACAAAAAGATAAAATCGATGGCAGTTTACGGACAGATGTCATTAGATAGACGGTGAAGATGAGATCAACGGTGGTTAGTGAACACGGTATCAAAGGCGGTTACCAAGCCCACATTATAAATAGCACTCAGCTGCCAAAAGAAAGCCTCGCGAATACAAACCAAAATGCTGTCTTTCAATTATCATTACTTGCGAGTATCGCACCTTTCATTTTCATAACTGTAGTTGTTTATTTTCTAAGCTAGTAGCCTCGTAATGTTGTATGTATGAACTTCGGACGTCGCCAGTCACTAAATGGACTCATTTGAATTGTTCATAAATATAAGTCGAACTTCATTATTGTACGAAATTTGACTTATTAATCAAGACAATCGAACTTTTTGTTCATGCCTGGATAACTCCTGTCCGAAATTAGACCCAGAACCCGGTCTCCTCTAATTAAAAAACCGAAAAATAACTTTCGGTAAATTATATTTCGTCGCGGCAACATTTCCGGCGAAACACAAACAAATTGGATTACAAGTTCTGTCACCAGTTTCTTCTCAAAACAAATTCAAATTTCCCTGCAGCTTTTCTTGGCAGGAACATAACGAAAACGAAACACAAGGACGCGACGTGAATCCACAGAAGGATGAAAATAAAAAAAGAATTTGCTTTTGCTTTTGCTTTTGCTTTTGGTTTTGGTTATTAGCATGGCGGAAGATCACTGGGTGGAGGCAGAACAGCTTGATCAGGTCCCGGTCCGTCCTCCACCACGAAAGCAGTTTTCAGTCCCCAACCCGTATGAAGCTCCAGATGACAGTGCATGAACCAAACCCCTAGAAAGAAAGGAGATGCCATGAACACGTCAACGTGAGAATGTATGTCCAAGATCCAAGATTTTGGGTTGTTAAAGTTGGGCTAGGAAGTTAACCTGGGTTGTCTGCTCTGAACCGGATGGCGGTCCAGCCGCCAGTCGGGACTCCCACCGTGTTCCTCTCCACCGGGTCGGCCAGGTTGTACTTGGCGGGGTCCTTGGCCGGGTCGAAGTTGCCGACGCCGGTCCCAACGACGAAGAAGTTGTACCCGTGGAGATGGAACGGGTGGGACTCGACGGTCAGGAGGTTGGTGTCCTGCAGGACGAGCTCGACAGTGGAGTTGAAGGCGATCTTGCTGACCCGGGTGCCCTGCGAGGTCTTGAGGTTGGCCGTGAGCGGGGCACCGGTGTAGTTGAACGGGGTCGGGGGCTTATCGGGGAAATCGGTGGTGAATACGCCTTTTGTGTTGAAGTAATGAGCTTGGAGGAGCCCAACCTTGGGCATCACGAAGGAGATGTTGTTCAGGGAGGCCAGGAGGCGCGTCCCGTTGATGCACGTCGGGCACGAGTCCTTGCCTAGCCCGATCGTGTAGAACAGTTTGCGGTCAACCTTCAGAGGGACATTGGCCGGGAACTGCGGTGAGTTCAGACTCCTGAGCTTCTGATTGTAGCTCAGGGCGAAGGCGGTGTCGTTTGGGGCAGGCAATTGGGGGAGGGCGGGCATGACCGTGTTCGGAATACCTTTGTATTGGAGTATCGCGGTGGCGGTCTTGTTGTCCACCGGGATTGGCACATCTATGAACGGCCTCGTGGCCATGAAGTACCTGCCCGGCACTCGGTTTGCTTGGACCAGGACGGTGGTGGTCTGGCCAGGGGTAATGAGGATGGCCTCCGTGGTGAACGGCTTCGTGTAAACCGCGTCCACCTCGACCACCGTCATGCTGTGGCCCGCAATCGCGAAGAAGAGCTCATCATTGAGGGCAGCATTGATGATCCTCAGGAGATAGGTCTTCCCCAGCTCGACCTCCATCGCGAATGTATCTAACAACACAAATTCCTAACTGAGCTATTATCCGAAACTCGGCTCTAATAGCTCGAGACAACAACTTTTTTCGAGATTTGGAACTAGAGGGGTCACTTACGCTTCTCGGAACATGGGAAGAGAGGCCCCGGTTTTCCATTGATCGTGTGAGCATCTGACATGTTCGGCGGCAAACCCATTTGGTTTCCTTGCTTCTCAACCTCTTCAACATCTGAGTTCCACCATTCTCCTGCAACACATGAAGAATTGAATTGAGAAAACTATTTAGGTCTCATTAACTAGGACTCTTTCAAGTTTTCGAAAATCTCCGATGCACGTATTTCTAACCCACCGAACAGAATGGTTTGCTCTCTGTCCGGTTGTGGGAACGGGAATGGCGTGCCTTGCTTCGGCATAATCACGATCGCGCCGTATACAGTGGCCCTCAACCAGAGAATATGCGCGTGCCACCACAATGTCCCTCTCTGTCCTGTCACGTTGAAGTCGTAAGTGTAGCTGTTCCCGGTTTGAATAGGGCATTGCGTTATATAGGCCGGTCCGTCAGCCCAGCCGTTGCGATACTGCTTCAATCCGTGCCTATGGAATTCACCGAGAGCGAGAATTAATAAGTATATGACAGCTCGAATATTTCCAATTAGTATTGATATGGTGTCTTCTGGATTGGACTTTACCAGTGAATTGTCATGTTGTATTGTGCATGATTAGTCACATTAACGAGGACCCTGTCCCCTTCCCTGGCATATATGGTTGGACCTGGGTACATGCCATTTACTGTGACAATTGGCTTGGCATGGCACAATCTGCTCACATTCTTCACTTGAATCTGTGACATTTAGCCAAAAAAACAACAGCATCATACACATGAAACATATACACCATGTGCAGATCCGAAATACCACGAACGCGAACAGAGATGATGACTCACGTAGAATTGGTACTTCTTTATGGCAGCTTCGGATGAAGTAAAACACGCCAAGAACCCAAACAAAAGAAGCGTTATTCTCGAAAACAAGTTCCTCCTGCGGATCGACATCATATCGGTGGAACCAAATGCAGTCTTTTTGCCTTTCCTTTTTTTCCCTTTGTGGAATATGTCTGTTGAATGAGAATGAGACGAGAGCTGGAGCTTCTCGAGTATAAATATACATGGGGGATGCAGTGATGGCATAGCTTATAAGCTATGAGTTTGTTAATAAAAAGAAAAACGAGAGGTGTTAAGTTGGCATGATTAGGTAGGAGCTGAACAGTGAAGATAAGGAGATTTCGCGAAAGGGGACGCCAAAGCTTGGAAGCAAAACATTGATGGCGATTTCTTTTAATCCGTTTTAAACTGACGTGGAGGCTGAACTTTCTGGACCAGGATTGAAGCTATGCTGAAACACGAGGCTTCTTGGTTAAACGTTGATCTTGGCCTTGGCTGAACAAGACAATATGTGAATGTATGATGAGGAACTTTTTCTATGTTCTGTGAGAGTTACACGATGCCAACCATACCCAAATCACAGGGCCAAAGCTTTACCTTAAAGGAAAGGCCATGGCCATTAGATAGTCTCAGTTTCAAGGATTCTTGTTCAGCATTCCATGCCCGCAAATGAAAACCAACCCCTTTGATCAAGCAAAACGCTTTCCTTCCTGTGGATGCTGATGGTTTTGGGCATGATTGGTCAGATGTCTCCCTCGATGAAGTGCTTTTTGCCCCCACTCTCTTTGGTGGGCACTAAGTGAATCCTTCTCACCAGCATCAGAATCTTACCCTTTGGTTTTGGGACTTACCAAAAGCCAAAGCTGGGGAAAAAGAAGGAAGAAAGAATAGAAAGAGATGGCTGAGAAGCACAAGGGTTTTAGGGGATGTCCTGAATTGCTGGCCATTTTTGCTTGATTGGCAAGGGCCTTCCATCCCTCTTTCTTTTTCCACAATGCTTTGTGAGAAAATTTGTCATTGCTTCCGGGCAAACATTTGAAGTATATAAGTAATTCAACTAAGGTATAGCATACTACCAACATGAGATTGAGACCTTGACAAGGGAGTAAAGTATTTACAACATTCCAATTACCATGTGTCTATTGTGAAACACAATCGATTATATTACAATTTCTCAATTTTCAAAATAGTTTGGTAAAACATCGCGGCAAAATATGAGGGGTTAATTTAAGGGAAATTATACAATATCCCCTGAACTTTGTGGATAGTACATGTTTGTTTGCAAACTTTTAATTGTTACACAATACCCCCACGAGCTTTCATTTTGCTATAGCCGTTAGTCCTCTGTTATTTTTTAAGTTAGCATGTCCAATGGACATGATTTTTAAGGAGTAAAATTATATTTTCTTTTTTTAAGGATATCTCCCTTTTACCCTTACTTGTTATAAAAATCAAAAGAAAATGGGAGAAAACTAATTTAATTAAAATAGTACTAACAAAATAAATACTATTATTATCAAAATTAAACAGCAAAAATTTGTTAAAATTTGATGAATATAGCCACTTTAATAGGACTAAATAAGGTAATCTAAGAAGAAAAAAAAGCGCAAATTAAACAGAAAAGGGAAAAGGTCTTAATAACAAAAAGATAAAATTACAAAAATTGGTTACTCGTTCCGTATATTTAAGGATCACTTAAGTTAAAAAATAATCGATTCATAAAATAATTTAAAAGTTATAAAAGAAAATAATGTTTTCAACTCATAAAAAGAAATGATTAACCAAAGCCTAAGGTGATATTATATATTATTTTTATTGATCAATAATATTTTTTGCATTAATTAAGCCATCAATCAAATATACATAATGAATATCCAAAATTTTCAATTCATTATTGCGGCCTTTATTTTTCCTTTTTACTTAGTTGTGTTTCTTTTTCTGTTAAATATACTATATGTCCTGTTGATATATTCATCAAATTCTGAAAGTATCATTATTGACATTCATTTCTCTTGTAGTATTTCATTTAGTTTATTTTTCTCCATTTTCTTTACTTTTTTATTTTTTACACAAATCAATGTTAAAGTAGAGACTTCATTAAAAAAATGAAAATAGACTTTTTTTTTCTTGAAAGTCATGTGTATTGTAAATGCTAAGGAAATAAAATGAAAGTTTCTCTTTAATTAAATCTTGGTTTTATAAAAAAAAAAAATCTAAAAGCGCTAGAAGGAGGGCTTGAACCTCCGACCTTGTGGTTAACAGCCACACGCTCTAACCAACTGAGCTATTCCAGCTTCTTATTGCTCACGTCGTCTAATTTAATTTTTACTCTTAAATATGATTCCGTGCCCCAAATCTGTGCGAATCTTCATGAGATCTTTGCAAAAGATTTACGATCTTAGATTAAATTTGACAGCTCTAACATACGAAGCATTGACAGATCTTGGGTACGTGACACATCGGTTCGATGAATTCATCCATAAAGAAGTACACGAGAAATACGATTATCCGGCGAAAACACAATCTTTCGACGTACCATTGCGTCGACACTAGGAAATTGACGCGAACAGGCTCGTATCAGGGCCTAATCCTTAGATCACGCAACTTCGAGGGGGAATTATCTTCGTGTTGCTTTACATTTTGGGATGATTTTGACCGGGGTTTTGACACAAAGTGAGAGGACCCATGTCACCATCCTCATCCATGCTTACAAGCCATCGATAGGATGGTAGAAGAGAAACAGATTCCTTGACATGAAATTAGACAAAATTGCCTCAGTTGACGCAAACCTCTCTACCTCCATTGATTCTGTTGCTGCTTCTTTTGATACATCATTTTTAACAGCACATAGAACAGGGTGCTTGGCCATTGATCAAGCAGTGATTACAAAAAAGTGAGTTTACACAAAGGCAGCAACTTAATCCCATGATTAATGAACTGGGTTTTCCCAAAACAATGATTAACAGAGCTAATCCTATAAAAAATTGAGCTTGGAAAAAACTGAAATTGTCAACAAAAATTTTGGGTCTTTCCTATGTGTCCTAATGCTATATTCCCTGCCTAGTCTTGGTCAAAAACCCCGCCTTCCAGAATTTTCCCTAGACATATCGGATTTTTCCTCCAGCTTTTTTGGCCCTATACGGCCATGAACTAGACAAGAAAATGACCTTCAAAATTTCGGAAAATGTCAGCCCTCCATCTCTAAACCGATCTTTTATTCATTCAATGATCTTAACGTGCAAAACTGCCATCTCAATTGCAAGCCGTGAGATCGAAATTCCTTCTTCAACGACTCAATAACGACCCGAAAAAGCGAAGAACGTATCTGATGAATGACTCCCGAAAGGACGTTTCCTATGTTTCTGAGGATATTTTTGGCACATTGGGGGCGAAAAGTAGCGGAAATATACAAATGCGCACTCAATTTTATAGACGAGAATTTTCGTTCGATGTTCCGGACCTCCTAATGTATCTCTGGCATGAATTAAAAAAAAAAATGCTGAAAGTGCCTCAACTTTGGCTAGAGTTGACTGCATTGTCCACCTTGTGCTTCACAGAAGTTTCCCTTGTATTGCTGTGCAAAGATGCGGGTCAAAAACGAGAGCTCATATGCAGCCGGACAAGTAAAGGATTAAAGACTAAAAAGTAGCATGAAAGGGAGAAGAATAGAAGAGAAAATCCCTTGTCAAAAGGAGCATTCTTGCACGAAATTATTGCCCATGAAAACCCGTCCGTTTGTCCCTTTGACTCATTCATCAACTGCCAACCGATTTATCTTGACATCCCAATCCACAAGACAAGACAGTCTGTGAATTTTAAGTTAATTCAAGAGAAGAATCGCTGACTTTCTTCTCCGCTGCAGAGCTCCATAAACTCCACGGTCTTGGAGGATGGAACGAACGACCGCGTGTCCCTCGAATTTCATTCGATGTCGAGCGAAGGGTCGCGGAAATGACGAATAAGCTAAAATTTGTGTGTGTGGAACATCGGTAGATGCCGCTATCCGTCAACTTGAATCGTTACTCTCAGTTAAGATGACCACAATCACCGATTTGCGAGCAGGGATTTTGTTCAAGCTACAAACAAGAGCCCTTTCCAATTGACAAGAACATGAAAAAAAACTGCACATTTCTACCAATCATACAGGCCCTACACACTACCCATCAAAGATTGATCTAGCCTAAGCTTGCCTAACAAAAATTCCCCAGCTACATACATGTCTAGCAGCGAAACAATCCACAGAAGTTGCTCCATTCTAGTTTAAAGGAAGAAGAACCTTACTAAACGGAGAATTCTTCACCGCCCAGATAATCAAGTCGTTGTGAGATCACGAAATAACCCGATTATGAATTTCATTTCTTCTTTCGTGGCACAGCAGAAACAGGCTTTTTAGAAAATATCGAGAGCTTCCGTCCGAAGAATCCAGGCATCCTGGAAGATGGTTTCGTCTCCAAGCAGTGACAACCAGGGTCTCCTTGCGTAGGGGGATCCAGGTCCGAGAAATAACAACCATCGCTGTCATTCGCATCTCGTAAGAGCCGGAGCAATTCCATAGCGCAAACTTTCGATCTCTCGGTGCCATTGATGGATATGCTCACGAGGGCTGGGATGACAGCAAAACCCTCATCCAGTACCAACTGACAATACTGTACGCGTTGAGAGCACAAAGAAAGAAAGATAGCCACGGCGTGCTCTTGCTCCTCGTTGCTCCCAGTCTCGAGTAGTTCGGCAACAGAGGCGATGCACTCGTGGGTCTCGGTCATGGAGATCCTTGCCTCCTCAATATCGCACAAGTTCCTGATGATAAGAAGAGCATATTTCGCTAATTCACCATCCTTCAAAAAACGGACCAACTTCGGGATGCAGGGTATAACATATGGACGGAGATCAGTACTCAAGCAGAGGTTGTGAAGGATTTTAAGGGCGGACACGTAAAGGTCTCCGATCTCGCAGTCGAGGGTCTCCAAAGTAGAAGGAATAGCACCGGAATTAGCGACTTTCAGTCTACAATCCGGCTGAGCAGACAGAATCTCCATAATGGCGAAGGCTTGTTCAGCTACTTCCGAATCAAGAAAGGAAGCCAACATGGAAAATCCATCTTGATGGACATGCATTACTTCGTATCTGCATGAAGCAGCACCCTCGTTATTTCACTACATTTGGTCGAAAGAGAAGGGTGAAAGGAAGAACCATGAAATTATCTTCTATAAGGAAACCAACCACAACTAGTATCCGCACTACAAACCTGCTATTTTTCAGAAACGTGAGTAATAACTGCAACGCGGTCTTCTGAGCTTTTACATCGCCTAGATCACGTGATTTCCCCAGAAATCTTACGAGCGCTTCGAGGAAATTCTCTGTTGATGCCGAATGAAGAGATTGGTGATTGTATTCCAAATTGCTTTTGAAATCTTCAACCACCTTGCACTGAGACTGCCACGGGAGTTCGGTTAGTGTAGAAAAGATATCAAAATATTCCTCGTCAACACTCCCGTAAGAATGGTCTTGCTTCGTGTCTTTTGTATGCAAGGTCACAGGACTAAATGCATTTGCAAATCTTCGAAGCAAAGATTCAGAGTTATTGCTGCTCCCCAGGGACCCAAGTGAGACATTACTGAAGTCCACTTGAAGACGTAGGTCATTCAGCGAACTGCCTAGGCTAGCAATCGATGTACTAGAATTATCCCACGGATGTACCGTTCCTTGCTGTATGATAGGGTCAGGTATTTCTAGTCCGTGTCTTGTACACCACTGTGATATTAGTCCCTTTAAGGCAGTATTTGGGGTCCATAACTGGTGGGCTAGTTTCTTCTTTGTTTTCGGACAAAAAGTATTACCCTCATCAAACCACTTCTGGATCCACGTTCTTTCAAATGTCTGTCCAGAAGCAATAACAACCGGTTCATACATCAATCTCAAAGAGAGCGGGCATTTGAACTCTTCAGGGAGTATTGCGTCAACAGAAACATCAACTTGAGCCTCACGGTGCCCTGGTAAATGAGTCTCAGCCACTTCAGCAGCTTCTGTATAGACTGAATTATGTCGGGAATTAGCCGTCAAATATGTTCCTTCATTCTCCATGCGGACGCTCTGTGTTTGCCCGCTCACAATAGAATTCCCATACTTCTTCAGAAGAGATGAAAGGTAAAGTAGAATCTTCTTCTTCTTTGGATCACTTTCACCGACTTTGTCAAGTAGCTTCTTGATCGATCTTCTTTCCACCAACATTGACTTTGGCGAAGTAATAAAAAGCTTTGATGCTGCAAATTGAAGAGCTTTTAGTTCTGAATTTTCGGTCGAACCAGATTCTGAAGGACCCTGCCGAATCAAGTCATGCACCGCCTTTCCTGCGTCATCTTCAGACGGTTCCAGGATAAATGTCGCACTCCTTAGGTTATCTAGTAACTTGGATATCTGCACAAAGATCAGTTGCTTATTACCATCTAATTAATATGATCTGCAACATTTGTTTATCAGAGAGCAAGCATAGCAAATACTAAGTTTATTAAGCTTACAGCTATGGTGCGACAACTAACCTCTATAGCCAACAATACTGGAACCATATTTTGAAGTTGGCCTAAACTTTGCTCCAACATGTTCCTTGACCTTTCACATCTTGCGACTATTGTATCCCCAGTTAATGCCTGAAATGATTAAAGTTGGACCATTAAGGGAGGAGGAAAAGCATGATCTGTGGAAGATAACCAGCTTGAGAAAACCTTATTTTATTCAGTTGACTTGACATTAAAACATGTACTTTAACGTCCTCTCTTTCTCAATATATTGTAATTTTAAAACAACAGAATGCAAAAAATTAACTACCGATAAGGAAGTATCAAAATCAAACAACTGAATCATTGGAGATTGCAACATGATCAGAGTTTCCAAACTAATTCCTTTAAGTTGCACACTTACTCGACTTACTTGACAGCCTGAATCTATGATACTATGCATAAGATATAATGCCCCATTTCAGAAAAATGAGGAATATGGTAGTAGCAAGAAGTGATCCTTTGCCCGGTGGCCCTTATAATTCTAAGCAAAACAGCCATATCTACCTTCTTAATCAGATACCTACCAGGTAGAGCTTACTAGACTCGCTGCAATGCTGGAGAAGTAGGTTGGCTTTCTCAATGGCACGGTTTAACAAGCATAGTGCCTGTATTCCAGCCGAGCATCGAGGTCGAGCTGTTTCAATCTCTGGTAGTATGCTAGAAACCTTGTTAACTATTCTCATGAGCTCTGCACACAATGCACGGTGAACCTGCATTTATAGGTTGCAGTGAATTAATATATTTCAATCCCAGTTATAAGTACTTGATGATATTTATTCATTACCTTCATTCGGATAAATCTACCACAATACTTGCCTATTACCATTGATGAAATTACTCCAAAAAAGAGAGTGTAATTCTGAAAGTAATCTATACCTTAAACGATGAAGGATATGATCTCTCCACAAATTCATTAACACCACTTCCCATCCGGCACAAAGTCTGTCCTGAATCTGCCGTTTCAGAGGCACAAAAAGAACCAAATACTATCAGTTCTTGCACTAAATTAACTTCACAAACTTCAACTACAGCAACAAGAAAGTCCCCTTAAACTGATAGCCATAGGAAAAGTAAACAACATATACCTAGATTTCTCCTAAAGAAAATGAGATGGCAGCTACTCTGCCTCCTATGAACAGCATGAGGAACAATCATAAATTTACCCAGAACCAGAAGCAAACTCTGCAACTAAACTTCCAGCATAAATAACCCTATTTGAAAATGGAAAATATTAAGTACTCAATATCAATTCACCGCATAATAAGAGATATCCTCCAGTTTGATATTGTGAGCAACAGATTAATAAGTTCCAATAGAAGCTACAATCCTACAATAAGATACACTAACGTAACGATGAATTTGATTTGAGAACATCAGAAAATCTTGGAGAACTGAAAAACGAGTTGAAATTAGAGCGGAACTCACCAGGTGAGTAAAGCAACAGATGCGACCAAGATAACTCTGTCCCTGCTTGGGCAATAGAACCACCACAAAATTCTCTCTGCTGCTTTTCCAGAATATCAGCAAAACTATTGAAGCACCACCACTAAACCCAGCGACCACTTTTTATTGAAAATTCTCAACCACCAGACACACAGATTAGGCAGACCCAACAAAATTCAGCTCCACCTCCCTTGAAAAAAACCAACTTCCCAATAGAATTCAAAACCTCTCAAACTATCTTTCTCTTGGTCCTCATAGAAAAGGAAAGTGAACAGCCAACAACAGCACAAGAGAAACCCTCTAAAGAAGCCATAATCAGAGCTTACAATCTTCTAGCCCATAAAACGCTTCCTTCCTATCATTCCCAGTTCTTCAGTGATGAATCAGAACCTCAGAGAGGTTTGGCTGATGATGGACCAAACAACACCCAGAAATTGACAGAATCTTGCAAAGCAAGAACAAGGGGGGAACAAAAATCCCCCCAAGAACCACAACAAAAGAGCCCAGACACACCTGTCAACTGGACTCCTAAACAGCACAAACTTTCCCTTCTTCTTTTTTCTTTTGTGGTATCTTTATCCCCAAGGGAACATAATTCTCTGCGTGATGTTGTATGCAAACAAAAGATAAGCAGCAGCTCCTGCCCTGTACGACAACCACCAAGTTTGCACAGAAAGAGAGAGAGAGAGAGAGAGAGAGAGAGAGAGGAGAGAAACGGGGAGAGAAAGCGAGAGAGAGAGAGAGAGACAAGAAAATTTTATCTTTTTCGCTTTATAGAAACAACGAAAGAGACCCATCAAACAACGAAGGCTTTGTCTTTAAAAACAAAAAAAGATTTCGCAAGATTAAATAAAATCCGACCATTCTTACAATTGGTCGCTCATGTTTTAGTGGTCGTCCACAACAGAAAGGGAAATTCAGAGAGAGAGATGATGATGATGGAGCCTCGCCACCATTTCGCTTTCATGCCATGGCACAAATGGAGGGGCAGGCATCCATGGTGGAGTCAGCAAGTCAGCTAGTGTCACAGGACTGTGATGGCTGTGGTTTTCTGTGGACCGCTCCGTCTGCAGAAGAAAAGCACAGATTTTTCTCTATTGCCCAAACTGGGTTTCGCCGCGCTGACCGCGTGCGTTGACATGTCAACGCGCAGACCTTGTTGATCGCCGTGCGGAGATCAAAACATGCGTTAACGCTTTTCAAGAACTTCTCCTTCACCTTCTCCTTCTCCTTCACCTTCTTCTTCTCCTCCATTTGGTAAAAAGATGGAGAAAAGAGAACAGAGACTGCACAGAGTCAGAGGCAAAGCCCTCTAGAATCCAAGTCCGAATTTGTACAATTCCTCGCTTCGGCTACAAAAGGACGACATGGCATCGTTTCGCATCCCAAATAACAAACAAGTTACATGGTAATTGGTCGTGTAGTCCCATCTTAATCACGATTATGTGAGTTTGTCAAAAAGCGGGCACCGACGGACAAGTTCGAAAAGCCAACTTTAGACTTTACCCATTCGGTCTTACGAGAAAAAAATCATTGAATCCGAGTCCCCTATCGACACTTTCTCGGGATGAAAACTCGGTTTCAGACCTCTCGATCCGATACCGACTTTGAAATGACGGACTGGCTGAAGTTTTTGCGACGCCACTCGGTCGCTAAACAGTAACAGCAGACTTTACCGATTCGGTCTTACGATAAAAACCGTCGAATCCGAGGCCTATATCAACATTCTCTCGGGATAGAAACTCGGTTTCAGACCTTTCGATCCAATATCAACTCAGAAATGACGGACTGGCCGGAGTTTGCTACACCACTCGGTCAGTCAATTAATAACTTTAAAAAAACAAACCAACTTCAGAATTGACAAATCATACTACTTGATAAAGAATTTCTCACGAGTCGCGACTTGTAACGTATCGTAATCTTTCTCGTGGCATTTCCAAGTGCCCTTTCCCAAAGATATCCAAATATATAATATGCCATGGCGGTGTGGAGTTGACCATAAATTTGTTTGATGTTCTTGGAGTTGCGCTGTGATGTGCTGCAGTATTCAAATGTAATCAATGTTAGTCTCGAGCTCTCTTGGGTATGGAGTCTTCAAATCGTGCAGAGAGAGCCATGAGACCATGATGATCAAGGTGGTCTTTGATTATTTATGCAGTCCTCTTTATTGATGTTTCTCCCTCACTTTAAGATAAAGGGATACTTTAAATCGATATGAACTAGCTCGTATACCCAATATTGGGGAAAATTATTAAATTGGTCACGTACTTATTGTGTGGATGTCAATTCAGTCCTAAACTTTTCGATTTTGCCAATATAGTCTAAAACCGATGCCGGAATGATTACATTGGAATTTCGCTCAACGGTTTAGGATTACATTGGCAAAATCGAAAAGTTTAGGACTGAATTGGCATCCGTATAAGAAATTCACGACTGATTTGGTAACTATCCTTCAATTTGACTAAAAAAAAAGGGCCATCAAGCTGCGTGCAAAATATGCATGGGGATAAACTTCTCATAACTTAGAGGTATAATTATTGCACGCGTAATCCAAATACATTAGATATATTCAAATGGGTGGACATCATTGTACGCTGCACAAGATCTACGAAACTTAAAAATTTAAACCGATTAGACAAAGTAAATTGCGCTCTCCATATCGGGAAAAATACCAAATAAGTCATAAATCTATTATATTTGTACCGGTTTAATCTCAAATCTCTCAACTGTGTCAACTGAGTGCTAAACATTTTCACGTTTTGCCAATTAAGTCTATTCGGCAAATTTTAGCGCAAATCGCTAACATGGATGTCAATAGTACCACATAGAACAACCATTAACGATGTGGATAATTATTTTTCTTTTCTTTTTTTCTTTTTCTTTCTTTCTTGTCCTTTTGACACAAAGCCCTCGTCAGTCACAAGCGAGGGGTCTCGATCCTTGCCTAGATCTGGTGAGGGTCGTGACCCTCGCCCGTGATCGGCAAGATTTGGCTCGCCTGTGACTGGCAAGGGTCGGCCAAAGACCTTCCCCAAGCTTGGAAGGAAAAAAAATTATAAAAATTTAGAAATTTTTAAAAAAAAAATTATAAAAGAAAAATTATCCACTTCAGCAACGGCCATGCCACATAGGACGATCAGCGTTCATGTCAGCGATTTCCAGCTAAAATTGGTCGGATGGACTCAATTGCCAAAACGTGAAAAGTCTGATAATTCAATCGGCACAATTGATCCGACCAAAAAAAAAACCGGCATTAACTGAAATGTTTACGATCGAATCGGCATAAATACAAATAAATTTACGACCTTTTTTTTTTTAAATTGGCAATTTCCCCTCTCTCCGATCTCCAAATCCGACTTTTTTAACCGAGGGAGGCGAAAGAAACCCCAAAGTCCCAATCATCTTCGGTGGTGGACACGTGGGGGAGGAGAAGTTCATGAGAAAGCGCACGTCACTCTCGCTCCATTTCCCAAGAGCCTAGAGAGTCCATCTGCTTCTCGCACCGCGCGGGAAGCGATCATCAATGGTCACGCACTGAAGAGAAAAGAAAGACGCAATGTATCTCGTGTCGTCCATGCCCTTCGAACTACTTTCCCTACTTTGGCATTAACTCTAGAACCGGCAACCTCTTCTCGACAGGATCGGGTCAACCAGCCCATACGCGTATCGGTTAGGATTTGCACTTACTAGATAGAGATAGAGAGACGACTTTCGTCCCTCGCTCATCATAGGATTAGCAATGATCGAAAGAGTTTTAGACCTAATGTATTTATGCCAATTCAGTCATGAACATTTCAATTGTGGCAATTGAGTCCTGGCCATTTTTAGCGTCTCGCTGGTTGAGTCCATCCGGTCAATTTTTGTCGGGAATCGCTGACGTGGACGCCGGCCGCTCGACGTGGCACGGGCCAGCGCTGGCGTGGATAAGTTTGATAATTTCTTTTTGAAATTTGTTTCCTTCTTCTTTTGTTCCTTTTCTTTTCCTTTTTCTTTTATTCCAAACCTTTGTCCGCGGCTCGTGAGGGCTTCGCGGCCCTTGCACAGTGGCCAATGAGGATTGCCGATCCTCGACCGTGGTCGGCGAGGGGTCGGATAGCCCTCCCCCGTGACCAGCGACCCTCACCAGGCTTGATAGAAAGAAAAAAGTAAAAAAAAAAAAAAGTAAAAAATTCAAATGTTTTTAATAAAAATTATAAAAAAAAATTGTTCTTGTCAGCGCCGATCGTCCTACGTGGAACTGCCGGCGTCCACGTCGGCGATTTCCAGTTAAAATTAGCCGGACGGACTCAATTGGCAAAACGCGAAAACGTTGGGTTTAAGATTGAATCGACGCGGGCGGAATAGGTTTAGGACGGAATCGACACGAATGCAATAAATTTAATAAAAAAATTTAGGTAATTTTTTAAAAAAAATTGGGTGACTTCTCCGAGTGAAGACATGTCGTCAAGGAAGACCTCCTGTAATAACTTAAGCGCATGCACGTCGTTTTCCCCTCCTCCGAGTAAAACTACCGTTCCATTGACTTACATGCGGAAGGATCGATGCATCGTGATGCATGGATGAGGTCGCCATCATCGTTCGTGCGTAGAATATGACTATATATTGTATGTACATTTTCCTCATTCTGCCCTACCATTATTAGCTAGCGACCCTCTACGTTTTCAAACTTAGATGGGCAAATATTTTAAAACGTTAGAACGAGCGCGGCTGGCTACGCTGATCTAACGCGGAACTTTCGTCTTCGTGTACCGGTTCAACCTTCAAGTTTTGCATACAAAGAATTGCCGGTGACAACTTCCGAAAAAGTCATAAACCTTATTGTATTTGTGCCAGTGCAGTTATAAATCTTTCGATTTGGTCAATTTAATCTTCAAACCTTTTTTTTACGATTTGCCAATTTAGAACCCCCGGCTGATCAATTTTGACCGGAAATCGCTGACGTGGACGCCGTCCGTTATACGTGGCACGGTCAGCACTTACGTGGACAATTTTTATAATTTATTATTATTGTTTGTTTTTTTGTTTTATTTTCTTTTTCCCTTCTTTTCTTTCTTTTTCTTTCTTCTTTTGCCGATCGCTAGGTCTCAATGATAGCCACCGACCCGGCCAGGTGACAACCAACGAGGGTCACCCTCGAGGCCTCAAGTGAAGTCACCCTCGCCGAGATCTAGTGAGGGGCGACCTCACTAGCCTCACTAGTTTCGGGTGAGGCTCAACCTCACCGGATCTAGCAAAGCGAACCTTGCCCGAGGCTAGCAAGGGTCAGCCTCGCCATCTTCGGGCGACCCTTGCCGGTCGTCGTTGCCTGTGGCTAGTCGTCGGCCGTCGTCGAGGCTCGACGACCGGTAGAAGAAGAGAGAAAGAAGAAAATATAAAAGAATTCCAAAAAAAAATAAAAATTGTAAAATTATTGACATCACATTAACGATTTTTAGCTAAGATCGAGATGATAAAAAAAACAAAAGGGAAAATTTGACCTTCCCAAATTTAAGCCGGACAAGAAACGAACCACCATTTTTGGACATTATACGCTCCACGAAATAATAGTATTTAGCTTTCCTTGACATTGACATCTTTGTGCCAAGACCAAGACCTTGATGCCCTTATTAGGTATGTGTGATTTCACGGTTTGGTTGAGGAACTCAACATGTATGTGTGACTTAAGTGCACGATATAGGTTCGACATTTTCAGATAGATCGCAATATGATAATATCTCGCCTTTAA